CAAACATGTTTCAGAAATCATAAAGGATCATACTGGAACCAGCAGTGATTTTTCATATATGATTTTATATGGCATTTACAACAGGGTTACCAACGCGTTATTCCTGGTAACTATTATGGTCGATGGTAAGGCCAGTTGATTAAATTAGTAGGTACCTATTATTAGTTACTTATTCAGAAACTAACTATAATTCATATAGTTTGAAAATATTCAGTAATTTGTTGAACAATATAAAAACGCAAGGTGGGTTTCACTTCAGAGATATGTGAACAAGAATATATAAATTATAATGTATTCATGTTGAGAGCTCTCTGAAGTTGGCTCTTTAGTAAGGTAACCAATGGGTAGAAAACTGGGTAAAGATATAACAATAACCTACCGATCTATAAATATATACGGTAAATCATTAAAAATAGCATAAAATTTCTATTCTACCGCTAATATCCTTGTCTTCAGAGTGAAAATATAAATGTTGAAAATGAATCATGCAATCTAGGTATATTCTTAGATGCAATGCTTTAGTAGTTGAAGTGTTCTTTGAGTGACCCTATTTTTAATATGCTAATAATATTTACAGAGAAATTTTAACATTTAAGCATATTCGTAATAGGTATATAAAAAAAATGGAATAATCCTAAACTAAAGGGTGTTATAGAACTTTTTTGACAACAAGAGTAATGTGTTGAATAATATATTTATTAAATATTGTTTAGAATTTTATAATGCAAAGGTAATCGTAAAAGCAACAATAATTGTTGAAAATAATAGTAATTGCAATAAGTATTGCAAATTGTGCTTCCCATCTCGTTGATACATGGTAGGTACTATGATTTGAGAATAATCCCTTTTTTAAGTATATTGGATTAGTGTTTGCCACTAATAGAGTTTCCCTAGTAGAAATTTGGATCCAACGTTCTTAAACATTTTTCAGGATATACATTATTTTTAAGATAAACTGTTTATAAATAAATATAATGTATACATACATTACATGTATGTAAGACCTGGGTCAATACGCTATAGCGTCTTGACCCAGGTCTTACATACTGGTCTTGCAACTTTTGAAACAAAATTCAGGTGGCGCTGCGATCGAGGGCAAATTATCATAACCTAAATTTTTAAAATCCTATTGGGTGTGATGTTAACATTTTTGAAAATATAATAAATAAATAATAAATAAAGTATTTATTGCATATTCAGTACAATACAGAACATATAATACAAAATATACAAAAGGCCATCGACCGGGGTCCTTCAGCCTAGAAAATATAATATTATTTGAGTTTTGTCGGATAATTTACGTGGATTTAAATCTTATTTCAGACATGATAAAGCCTGTGATATACCGCAATGTAAGACGGGTTAAATCCATATAATATATTATTTCTTTTACTGTGTGCAGTGCTGGATTAACCTAGGCCATGGCCTAGGGCTGGCCAACCTAGGCCATGGCCTAGGGCGCCGCGAAGCCAATAGGCGCGCCTAGGCGCCCAGGCAGAAGGCTCATTTTTTTAAGTAAGTTAAATATTAAAATTAATCAATTAAAATTAAAAATTAAATTATTACTTACAAATGTTAAAAATCAACTGGCTAAAAGCCAGTGGTTGTAGATTTTTATTTTAAAATCCTAGATTATTGATCATGCATGCAAACATTTTTTAGTGGGTTCGCAGTGCATGGTCGGCACGCGCTGCGGTATAGGCGACATCCATCAAAGAATAAAAAAAATTATTCATATTTCCGATTTTGCTATTAAAATAAAAAATCTGTTCCAAAAAATGTTAAACTTGCCAATTGGTTAGTCTATATTGAAGTTTCGAAAATGTAAAGTTTAAGACATGGATTTAAAGCATAGGTACCTATTTTTATTACAAAAAAACAAATAACAATATTGTTTTCCGCATATCGTAATATACCCGAATGCAGGGTATTTTGGAATTTTGCGCCCGGGCAAATATGATCGGCCGCCTCAGTAAAAATATGATTTATTAAATAAATACTTAAACTCATCAAAATCCGAGGTCACACTAGGAAAAGTAATACTAAGAACAAAATTAAAAGTGGAAAAATTTCCACACATGCGTCATTCCACACAAACTACAAACACTCTATTCAAATTAAATACATTTTTATACTTCCTCACTGATTGGTAACACTAAATTAATGACAAGTTAACTCAATGTGCACAAGAGTTGTGCGCAGTTACTGCGCGCGCTCTCCAGATGCGCATCCAGTATGTAAATTTAAACAGAAAGAAATAGACTTGCGGGTATTTTTTAAAGAAAAATGACTGCATGTAGAATGGCATTGTATCCAAAGAAGATTATCAAAAAGGCCTGCTAAAACCCAGCGGCATTAGGCCGCCCCTCTGGAACCAGCCCCGGACCTTCGACCCATTATACGTCCTTACCTAAAGGGGCTTCATAAATAATGCCTATAGACGTTCCAAACTAGCATAGTTTTTGTAATGCCTGTTTTATTTATTTACTAATAAGTGCTGAACAAATAAATTTGTGTTAAGAGAGTGTTGTCAATGCTTTTTCATTTCCAAATGTGTCTTCTTAAAAAAAGGGTTCAAATATATGCTATGATAATTGGAATTATCGAAGACTTGTGTCCCCTACGTTACCAATAAATAACGAAGGTTGCAAGGAAAGACAAACTTTTTTGTTCTTAATGAAATTAGCTTTTATTTTGTATACAAATCTAACCCCAAGCAATATAATATATTGATTGAGGTTAGCTAGCAAAGCTTTGTACACAATATGATTTTATTGTCCTTTATAGCAATATTTGTCATTTTTTGGTAATGCAGAGGACTCAATCTATAGATTTTTCCATTGATTTATAATAATAAAAATAGGGTACTTAATGGAGAGGACAAAAATTACCTACTATTATAATGTGTGAGATTAGCTGTTCTGAGTACAATAAAAAGGCACTGAAGTACAAGTACAAGAACTGTACCAAGTACAATATAAAAAAACATGAAAGTGCTATAGAAATAAAACTTATTTCCAGTATTCACAATCATAATTCGTTAAATTTGTTGAAATAATTTTCAATAAGCATAGAGCATCCATTGAATATTTAATTTGAATTTACTAGTATCGCGTAGGTACTTTTTAGCTACTGTTTGTCCTACCAATGTTTACTTTAAAAGGGTATAAACGATGTTTATTAAACATATAATGCTGGATGAAAAGTGATTGCAAGTTCAATATAAAAAAGTAACTGTACAACACTCTATAGAAGTAAAACTTCTCCGTAGTATATACAAATCATACCAGGAAAGTATTCAAAGTTCAAAATATATATATATAAGCACAAATGTCTCTTTAAAACTCAAAGAGAAAGAAGTTGTGATGGGAAAAGACTGTTACTTCGAAAATAGCATTGACATCGACGAGTATTTTAGTATCTAATATAAAAAGTAGTAGGTTTAAAAAAGATGTAATGGTTAATAAAAAATACTTTTTAAATTTTCACAATAATTATTGACTTGCTCTCTACGTTACCGCGGATTGTCCTTTCCGTTACTGTGGTAATATTTTTTAAAACAGTAAAAAAACTTGTCTGCTATAATCTGTAATATTTTTTTTTAAATAGAAAACGGTTTATAAAATGCTCAAAAAAAATTAATTGTTGGCCCATACATAATTTGTTACCATCTTAACCATAAAAATAATTTTTATTCTGTTATAATATATATAATAATATAATATATATTATATTATGTCCAAATATTATTAACTTTGGTTATTAACAAATACAAAATATAAAATAAATATGTTTTTTGTAATTATACTTTACTACTTTTAATGAATTTAGCTCAATATTTTTTGTATTCCATATATAGAACACAGATCAAATGAGCTAAATTTATTAAATAGGAAAATTAGTTATGTCTACCCATTATTTATTCAACTTCTGTTGATTTAAAAGGATTGCTTCTGAATCATACGCCAGTAGCAAACAAGCTATTTAATATTGCCAAAAAATCTAATAATAAACTTACCTATTTTTCTAATATCCCAGGAATCCGCATTGGTCATTATTTGCATGCATCTGTTTTCAGATTTTATGCAAACAATTTTATTTTTTTTAAATTCTTGTAGAATCTACTTATTAAAATAATAAGATTTAAGATTTTAACTTTATTAATATTATTTAAAAAGTAGTACATTTTCTAAAGGGTTTATTTACAAGTTGTAGGATTTTTGAAAATCCTAGTTGAGATCAAAATTTTAACTCCTTCAAAACCCATTGTGTTTTTTAGTTTTTTAAACTGGTTGTTTGTATTGTTGTTAATTTGAAGTTAATTAATTGAAGCAAATTTTATATTTATTGTTTAGTATTATTTTTACTACTATTTACTTAGGGCCGTCCATATGTTATGTCAGCACGTTTTTGTCCATTTTGGAACTTTTGGAATTAAAAAAAACTTTCAAAATCTAGTTTCCCGATAATTTAAATAAAAAAAAATAATGACATTATCATAAATTTGCCCTCTAGGGGGGTTTTAACCGTCATCATTGGCAAGACCCCCCTCTACCTCCTGACGTAATATATGGACGACCCCTTACCCAAAACCAATACCAAATTACTAGGAAGGAAAAAGGAATTAGGAACCCAATATAAGAAAAGTGTAAATGCAGAAAAGCTTTAATATTCTGTAATCATAACACAATAAATAAATAGGTATAATAAATAATAAAGTAACAAATATAAATATATATATATGTAATATTACACTTAAATAAGTACTATATGACCAGAGTATGTAATTAGATACAATGCTTAAATAATGAAAAAGTTTAACACAAAAAACTGCATCAAAATAATTTTTCAAATGAAAGCAAACCTACTATTGATAAAACTTAAAAATTAATTCGTTTCGACTGCTTACTTTACATGGCAGTGCATTATTTTGATAAAAAAGTAACTTTATTAAAACCTCCACCAGAATTTTTAGTTTATGTACATTGAACGACGCTCACCTGGAACTTGAAGAGTCGCTGTTGTGCTTACAGTGCCCACCGAATTGCTTGCAGTACAAGAATAAGTACCTGCATCCTCTGAAAAATGTAAATATAAAGTATTTTGTGCTTTTATAATAGTTAAAATACAAGTTTATATAATTGGACTTTGAGATAGTGTATTATATTCACTTTACCTATATTGTTACCTCATTTTTGTTGACATTTCTTTTTAAACTTTTCTAGCATATCTCCTAAATGCCCACTTGGATGGGCAAGTGTAATTTCTGAATCTCGAATTAATTTTTTGTGCATTATTTAAAAATGATGAATAAATAAAATAAAAGGTTTACTAGACATTTCTTAATACATTAAATAAAAGTTAAAACACCATTAAGTCTTTACCAGTAAAATTTAAGTCCATACTATGATTTTACTGCCCCCAAAAGGTGGTTCCGGAGATATGAAATATTAAATGTTATTTAAATAAAATTGTATGACAAACTTCCTCCCCCTCGTATTAATTACATTTATTTTAAACTGAGAAAGTTATTTAAGATTAAACCTTAAATAGAAATAATATTAAAATAAAAATTTGCAAATGAAAGATTAAAATATATTTGTTTTGTAGACTGATTGGAACTTAATTTGACATCGTTAAATAGCCTTCAAAACTATTTGGATCACAACAAATAAATGCAACCCAATTTCATTAGAGATTTATAACCTTTCTTACTAGACAAACTATTTATCTTAGTGCCAGTAAGAAAATTAAAGGATTTAATTACGAAACACCGTACCATAAAATATGTAGTTCATGATAAACATTTACTTTATAACACTCAAGGTTCTCTATATTTAAAAATTGTTTCTTACCAGGATAAGCTTGCGAGATAGTCAGACGACAAACTCCATTTCTGTAGTGAAGCTGATAATCGTGGGAGTTGTTAATGATCCGTCCATTTTTTGACCATAAAATATTTGGTGGAGGTTCCGATTGAACTATACATTCGAATTTCGCTGCTTGTCCACTTACAACAGCAATATCACGTAATGGCTACAAAAATGTATTGTTTTATATGAATATTTATATCAAGAAGGATTTTTAGGTACCGTAATAAACATGGGTGCTTTTGCTTGACCGGCATTTACCATACGAGCGTGAGTACTTCCGGGAGTACTTGGACAACTGGGTGGCGTTTGGGGTCTCCCTTGACCTACAATAAAAGTGTTTTAATTTATGTCCAAATAATGTAAAATAAACCAATAAAGCCTGCTATAAGTAAAAAATTGCGAAAACCATATTTTGAGTGTAAAAAACCGATGATCACACATGACAATGACATGTTAGTAGGCAGCGGAAAAAGTTATTTTTTTTGGAAGCCAAACCACACCAAGTACCTGCAAAAGTATTATTAAAAGCCGGAGAAGTGCTAGGCAAACTAGGTGACAACGACACGGGACTACACGAAGATGGTTCCCATCTTGAACCCTGCAAATTTCGCTTTCGGTACTCGCCTTCGTATTCCGACATTTCACTTTCGGATGTCGGGTCCCATTTACCACCGGCTACGAACTTTTTGGGTTTAAATTGTGGGGTCGGGGCCTGATGGGTGGGTTGGGATGATTCATGATATACAGGCATTTCAATATCGTAGGTACGTTTTGGTGGTTCTATAATTGTTTTCTTGGGAACTGGGATCTCGCCTTGTTTACTTTCCCCAGGAAGGATTATACCAAACTCATAACCAAAATCATACTTAAAGTATATTAAGCCAGTATCTGGGTCAACATGCTTCGTTCCTAAAGAATAATTAGTGGAAACTGTTAATTTTTACATTTTACGGTTAATTAAGAAGTATTAGAACTTGGAATTTAAATATAGTTATAAACTATTTTCTCGATTTTTATGTAAGAATGTCATATTCTCGCACGCAAAATCGTTGAAGAATGAAGCTCATTCTTAAACGATTTTTGGTAACATTTAGTTTTTAAGTATTGGTACCCCAAAATGTCAAACTGTTTTATAACCTCAAATTCATTACTTTTAGGATTATTTATAATAGCTTTGTTTGTTATCCTGCACTAGTGCAACCTGAACTACACTTTTATTGAAAATGAAGCCTTTATTATTGTTTTGTTATATTAAGTTTGCTCCAACAATGCATTTTAATGCAAAATTTTAAGTTTAATGTGAAAAAGTGCAGTTCAGTTGTACTTGTGCAGGATAACAAATATTGACAAATAAATGAGCCAGACAGGTCAATCAAACTATATTTTATTGGAAATATTATATACCCACAGTACACAAAACACAAAACTACTATAAATTAATCACTAGCACAATTGTTATAAACTTTTATTGTAATGTTCAGTGTTGCTTGTAAAACCTCCTGTGACATTTTTCACTGCTAAAAGTAAACACAATTGTTCAAAAATATCAGAAAACATTAAAAAATAATACAATACTTACACAAAACCTTATTATCCAGTTGACAAATACAGACAGATTATTAATAAATAGTAAATAAAAATAAATCTACCTGTCCATGCAACTGTCATTTTGTGTTGCCAACTGACATTTTGCAAGAAAAATCCCCCAACTAACAACGACCACAAAACATTTAAAAAAACCTAAATAAAAGTTAAAATCGAGAAAATAGTATAAATCACACGTTGCAGAAGGCTATTCTCGCACTCATTCGTTCGTCCACTCGCTCCTTCGTCGCTCGAGGCCAAATTTCGAATTCGTGCGAGAATATGTGGCCTTCTGCAACTTGTACTTTAATATACTATATATTAATATTTGTACAACTTTATTACCCTGTGTTTAATTTATCAGGTTGACTGCCATACAAGATTTACTTTGGTATATTTTTTGTTGTTTGATCAAAATTATATTTTTACAATTTTATCATATTTTCAGCCTGCCAGTCAACCTGTTAACTTTTTTTAATATCTTACCATGTTGAGCGGCTCTAGATTCCTCCCTGTATACTTGAGCATCACCATTGCCAACTTTAAGAATTGGTTTTTGACTAGATTGTTTGTTGTTAACATCGGTCATAATCTCATGCGCAAACTTTTGCGTCTTGGACTTAAATGATTCTGTCATGCTATCCATGTATTGAGATGCTATTTTTGTGGCAGTAGACTTGGTCATGTTTTGGTTTCCTGCGTAGCCATACTCTGGAGGAGGACCAGGTCTGATGTAAGTTTTGACTGGAGGTTCGTATGAATTGCTTCTTTTTACCATTTGGTTCGATTTATTTTCAGTGAACCTCTTGTATGAGCTCATCGTATTTTTTCTGGTCTCGCCATCAGTATAATCTCTTGATACATGGGTGGATTTGATTAAAACAGGGGGTTGTCTGTCAAATTCCATTGGTGTCATAACCCTTTCTGACTGAGGAGGTACGCTGGAAGATCTTGTAGAGGACGGTGGTCTCACCTTTCTATAGTGTAGATCTTCCACGGGACCTGTTGGGGTCCATATTTGTTTGATTCTCGAGCTTTCTACTTCGCTTTCATATTCACTCTCTCTTAATCCACCAGGTACAAATTTGCTGGGAGTCGGTGGTGGTGGCACGCTTCTGCCTCTACCTCTGTCCGGTTCAGGCTGGTAGGGGAATGGCTCCAATTTGGTGGTTTCCTGTTTTTTGTATTGATCGCCAAACTTGATAACTTTATGTGTTTGTTGGAAGCTTGCGGTGCGATGGCTGTGTTCCGTAGATTCATTAAAATGCACTATATTGGATGTCTCTTGTTGGATGGCGTTTTGGTAAGGAGCGCTGGTTGTAGATCTGTAATACTGAGTTTTGGTAGGGCCTGGGGCATAAGCTATTTCAGGTGGTGATCCTGGTTGAATAAGAATAGTTTGGGGTTCTTGCCTAGTTACCATATAATCAGCGGCCGGAGCCGCGGATATTGGTTTTGGTCTAAACATTGCAGGTTTTGGTGCTGTTTTGACTTTCTCGATAGGCTCAAACTTAGGTCTTGGTTGTTGGTAAAATTGAGTAGGAGTTACAGGTGTCACAGGTTGAACAGGTCTCCATGTTGTTTGATGTTTGCTATCGTAATCACTTTCGTAATCACTTTCACGAAATTCGCCTTTAACGAATTTGGAAGGACTTGGTGGGGGAGGACATTTGGATTGTTGAGGTTTGGGTGGTTCAGGTTTAAATGGAAACGGTTCGAATTTGTGATGCGTATCGTGTTGCTCGACTATTTGCTCAGAAGAAACACTGGTAATTATTGGAGTTGTTACGAGTTCCTGTAAAAGTAAAATATGATATAAATTGTTTAGTAGATATAGTATATAATATTTTTAAATATTACTAAAATCATTACAAAACGGTTATAATATTGACATTCACATAAACATAAAATGTTATATAATATCTACGAATTTGTTAAGTAAAATGAATATTAGTATAAAATGTGCATCTAGTCAATTTTAAAACATTTAAACATATCTTATTATAATTTTGGGATATACGCCGATTTTATGAAGCTCCCTGGCAAATACTAAACCAAAAATTAATTTTGCTTATGATGTGGTACCGTAAAATAAAATTTATTTTATTTAATAAATTGACTAGTTTATGCATGCGTGTATGTATATTAATTTATATTATGCAATCAAAGATTATTCCAATATTTTTACAGAATAACCTCTGATTTATTATCATTTTGCAATTATTACGGGAAAAACACAACACTCAATTATGATATAGCGAACCTTCTTTAATGTAGTAACCGAAGAAATACGTTTCTTAGGTTTAAATTTACAGATTTTTTCTGAGCTTTCGTAATTCGAAGACTGAGAAATATGTCTATATTCTTCTTGCCTCATGTGTTCAGTCTTAGTAAAACGTTTTTGTTGTTGCTGATAGAATGGTTCATCGGTATCAGCGCTATAACCATCCATTACAACTTTATGGGTTACAGGTTTTGGACTAGTTGGTTTTTGTTCAGGTTGCACAAAAACAGGGGGTGAGCCTGGCTTAATTTTTGGTGGAGAAATGGGCCTTTTAATATCCTTTATATGCTTTGTAAATTTTTTTGTTTGTTGGAATTTTTCTTGAGTAAATTTGTTAGCTTCAAAATTTATTTGAGGTCTAGGTGGACCAGATAATTCTGGGGGACGTTCAAATTTAGAAGGTGGTAAAGGTTCAGGTTCTGTCGAACGTGACCTACCAGAGGACACCTGTTTTGGAGCTCGTACTCTTCTATAGCCAGGTTCTTCGGTGTCACTGGTGCATGGTCTCCACTTTGGAAGAATTCTTCCCGATTCAAAGTCGCTTTCGTAATCGCTATCTGTAAATCTACCTTTGATAAATTTACTTGGGGTTGGTGGTGGACCTGATCTAGCATGTTTTGGTTTTTCTGGGCTCGGTTTAAAGGGGAAGGGTTCCAAATCTGGGAATCTTTCAAACGGCTTAGAGGGAACATCAATTATTTTTTTAACTGTATCGACTGGTTTTATGGGTTTACAGGGAATTGGTGGTGCGGCTGGGAATTCCTTTTTTGGTGGCAAAGGAGGCGGTATCATTACTTTTGGGGGTGGAGCATATATGATTTCGGCTGGTGGTCCAGGTTCTAAATATACTTCATCGGTAATATCTTGAACAGACACTGGTCTTATTGTCAAGTTATCCAAAGAACTAAAGGTTTTTGGTGGTGGTGGTACGTACTCTTGGGGTTGGGGTGCTGGTGGCCATGATTTAATAATTTCAGAAGGTTTAACATTTTTATCTTCAACAATGTGCTCTTTATCATAACCAGATTGGAAGGATTCATAATGTTTAGTTTGGCCAAATGAGGATTCAGCAGTTTTTTGTTCAACAATATTAGCTTCGTGATGTAATCCAGTAACTTTACCTATGTAGTGAGTAACATGTGGAGGTGGTTCTATAACAGTTTTGGTTTCTTTTATAATCGTATGAGTTTTTATTTCTGGACCCCATTTTCTTTCCATTGTACTTTGCGCCGAATAAGAAGTTTGAGATTTGGACTCTTCTGGGACCCATGATTTCTCAATGTGTGTATCGGAGAATTTGTGAGCCCATGATTTTTCCATTTGTTTTGCTGAAGGAATTGGTTCAACGACAGGTGGGGGAAGCATAGGTTCTAATTTTGGCAATGTGCTACTACTTTCTGATTGCGTACTAAAGGAAGACGATTTAAATGAGGAGCTCTGATAAGACTTCTCAATTTTTTCTGAAAATGATTGTTCAGTTTTAATTTCTGGTGCTTGGTAGGTCGATGGGAATATTTTTATGCCTCCTTGTGGAATTTCATGCGGAGGCAATTCTTTTTGAGATTCTGATATTTTCTTAATTCTTTCAGAAACTTGATCTTTTCTAACGGTCTCAACTTTAGGAGCGTAACATATCTCTGCTGGAGGTTCGGGTTTTAAGTCAAGAGCTTGTGTACTCATAGAATATGAAGAAGATTGTTGAGAAATAGGTTGTCCGTGAATAATTTCTTTGGAAGATGAAAACGCCGAGTATTGGCAGGTAGCTGGTTGTGATGAAGATTCATAGGTTTGTTTTGATGAGGAAAACTTTGATTGTTTTTCTGAAATTTGTGGGGCTACATCAAATTTAATTGGTATTGGAGTTTCCTTATGACATTGAGTTTCTTGGGATGTAGATTCGAATTTTTGGAAAATTTCTGGTTTAATGGGTTCGGGAATCGTTATGTCTTTGGCAGGCGTCTCTGGCTCACCCCCCTTAATCTTTTTGACAAAGTATTGTAAAGAAGATTGTTTAGAAATTGAACTAGTCTCAATACCGGTATCTTGAATTTCAACATTTTTCTCCTCTAGTCCTGGTTGAGTACTAATAGGTGGTTGACAAATTTCAAAACCTATTTGTCTTTCAATGTGTTCTTCTCTACGTTGTACCGGTTTTGGCATTGGTACATCAGGAACAGTGTGTTCCAATTTAATAGTTTTTACTTGTTGTGATGTTTGTTGTTCGGTTATCGTTTTAATTTCAGACTTTGAGGACATTGATTGTGATATTTCGCTAGTCGATAGAAGTGATGAAGGCTGGACTAATTCAAGTTTGGGGGGCTCAATTGAAATGGGTTTCTGAGTAGTCGAAGTTGATGATATCTTGTCAGCAGCCGATGTCTATGAATGCATGAAATAGAGAGTAATACAAGAAAACAGATCAATAACTAATGAGGAGAAAAATATTTAAAATTGCAAATATTCTTACCAAAGTTTCGTGCTTGCGAACATCCTCAAATACAACAGTCTTGACTACTTCTACCATGGTATCTGGAGTTGGTTCAAATACTGCTATATCTGCAATACTCTGAGCTTCGCCTCCTTCATTAACTGCTCTAACCATATATTTTCCCTTATGATGCATTTCAGCTAAAATATTAAAATTATTACCTAAGTATAATATTATATATTAGAAAGTTATTAACCTTTCTCAATAATTAATGTATGAGAAATTCCCATTGAAGTAAGTTTGTGATTTTCTTTCAAACATTGTTCAATTGGTATGCCATCTTTGTACCATGTTACTAATGGTTCTGGAGTTCCAGTTACTTCAACGTTCATATTAACTCTATCACCCTTTTTAATAACTTGAGCTTGAAGGCGTCTTCCGAATACTGGTGGAAATACTTTTTCTAAAAATAATTGCAAAATATAATTTATAAGTTTTAAAAACAAACTGGACAGTTAATTTAATTGGACCTTTCTTATATTATTACCATTAAATAATACAAACTTACTTCTTATAACCAAATCGGCAGTGCTGACAGCAGTTCCTGCCTCGTTTTTGGCAGTGCATGAATAACGACCGGCATCATTTATATTGGAGTTCTTAATTTCGACGGTTGTGCGATTGTGTTCCCATGTAATTTTAATACGATCATTTGGAATAAGTTCTTCGCCATTTTTGGTCCATTTGATATCTGGAGTAGGTTGGCCATCCAGGATACCTTCTAAAACAACATCGACTTCTTGATCGATAATTTTACCCATGACGGGAGTCATGAATTTCGGTGGTCTTGTTTTGATGGTTATAATGGGTCTTTTGATTTCTTGTTGCTGAATAGATTTCATTTGATTTTCGGCTAACATGTTGCTTGAGAATGTAGATGTTGACTTTTCAGTAATGACAGGTGGTTGGTTGTCGACTTGGTGGAATTCGTGAACTTTATGCGTTTCTTGAATGTTCGGATGTTGTTGATTGACTTGTTGCACGATTTGGGTATCATGAGCAGTGTAACTGTGGACTTCAGAATGGGGTTTAATTATTTCGCCTGTTGATGAAATGACTCTGCTAGAGGAAGAAGTTGTCGATTTAGTTTCAACTTGTCGATTCACATTGTATGAAGATTCGATATGTTGAGTGGATTCGATGCCAAATGGTTGTTCTGGTAAAGTTATGGCCAAAGAAGATTGTACTGATAAAGTAGCAGCACAACTGGCCTTGCCGATTTCGTTTTCGGCTACACAAGTTATTGTACCACTATGTTCTGTTTTGAGATCTGGAATAGATAAAACTTGTCTATCGCCAGATGTAGATATAAGGAAATCTTTGCCGGATATAGGATTGCCGTTAAAGAGCCATTTAATTTTAGGGGTTGGTTTACCACTAACAATACATTCAAACTTGCTTGGAGTATTTTCAAATGCAACACGGTCGTTAAATAATTCCTTGAATTCTGGGGCGCTCTTAACCTCTTCATGTTTAACGGATTCTTGGGGTTTAAATGATTTAACAATAAGTTGAGCAAAACATTTGGCTTCCCCTGCAGAATTGATAGCTTTTACAGTGTAAACACCTTTATCTTCTGGACGAACATTATCAATTTCCAATTTTATATTACCCTCATTATCATAAGTTGTTTTAAAGTGTTCTGTATCCGAAATAGGTAAATTATTAAGTAACAGTTTAATTTCCGGTTTTGGCTCTCCAGTAACGTTTCCTTCAAAAATAACTTTGTCTCCTTCTGATACGAGCACGTCCGTCAAAAGTTTGCTGAACTTTGGCGGTGTTCCAACAGCCTCGATTTTTTGTTCTTGTGGCGCGGAATCGGTGTTTGAGTCACCGGTTGGTGTAACACTTAATATACATTTGCTTGACGCTTCGCCGGCTGAATTTAGAGCTATGACCTTATATTCACCCGCGTCTTCTGGCAACACTTCCTGGATAATTAGAGAACAACGGTCGCCCTGGAAGAGCAGCTGAAAGTCAGCTGATTCCTTTACAGGTTTTCCATCGTGATACCATATTACTTCTGGTTCCGGTTGTCCAACTATAACGCAGTCCAAACGTACGCGACTGCCTTCGGCGATGTCTACGTTTTGCAGGGGTAGCTGAATCGATGGTTTAATGGGCTCCAAATCACTCGCCATTTCCGAATCTGACGTTTCGTTCGGTAAACGGCCTTTCACTGATACACTGCAAGAACTCACTGCTTCTCCTACGATGTTTTTAGCGTTTACTGTGTAAGTGCCAGCATCTTTTGGGAACGCTTCATTAATTATCAAGATGGCTTTGTTTTCGTCGAAAATGAGCTGAAATTAACGAAAATTATTCTGTGAGTATTTTTGGAAAGTGCGTGAGCGTAGTTAACATACCAAAGACATGCAATTTTATAAATCGAAAGACAAATTTATACATATGTAAAAATAAAATCATAATTAAAAAAATTGAGCCACAGCCAAAAATACTTACGCATACCTATACGCAAAAATACACATTTATAAATATATAACGTGATTCTTTACCCGCTAATTAGGTTTATAACGGATAAAATCTTTAAAGTTAGACTAACATTAATAATCTTAAACGCTCCTTACCTTAAGTTCGCGCGTTTCCTTCACTGGTTTGCCGTTATGTGACCAAGTCAATATGGGAAGGGGCAATCCTGAAACCTCGCACTCCAATTTTATCTTTTGTCCCGCTCTTGCCATGATATTTAACAACGGTGCTACAAAAGCTGGTATTTCCGTGGGCTCTAAATCTAAAAGCAATAATTTTTTTTAAATATTACTTTTATTTATTATAATAACCATTATTATAATAATTAATAAATAAATTACTTAATTTTTTTAACATATTGAATATTGACAATTTAAAATATACTTAAACTATTAAAATCTTAAATATACGTTTAATTACTTACGTGTAACTATTAAATTAGCTGTGGATTGGGCCGTTCCCAGCTCATTGGCAGCTTTACAAGTATACTCGGCCTTATCGGCCAAAGAAGTTTTTTCGAACTTTAAAATAGCATCTCCATTATTATAAGTTATAACATAATCTGGCGAGTTATCAATGCATTCGGAATTTTTAAACCACTGAACGTTTGGTAGAGGGTTTCCTTCAACCTTACATTCAAACTGGAAAGTGGCACCTTCTTTTGTAGTAGATGGAGTTAAGAGTTTGCTGAAAGAAGGCGCGATAAGCTGTTCTTCGGGTTCGGTTTCTTTAACAGAAAGCGATGCAGAGGTTTCGGCAGTACCGACGGAATTACTAGCTTTGCAGGTATACATCGCAGAATCTTCTGCAAACGTTTCTTCAATTGTTAAAGTGCATAAACCATTTTCAAACGTTGTCTGGTAGTCGGGATTATTTTGAATAGAAATGCCATCTTTCGACCATGTCACATTTGGCATTGGATTGCCAGTAACACGACATATAAAAGTGAATTTTCCGCCTTCTTGAAGAACGGCATCACTTAATGGCGAAGAGAAATCAGGTGCTTCCAAAGATTCTTCTACAATTGGTTCAGGTGTTTTACCACTTCGGGAATGTTCTACCGTAGTTATTTCCGTAATTGTAATAGTTTCACTCCTCTTAATTTCCTCTGCCAAACGTGCTTCTTCAGCCAGCCGTAATTCTTCAGCTTTTTTAGCTTCCTCTGCTTTTTTAGCTTCTTCAGCCAATCTTAGTTCTTCATATTTCTTTGCTTCTTCGGCCAAACGAGCTTCCTCTGCCTTCTTTCTTTCTTCTTCAGCGAATCTTGCTTCTTCTGCCTTTCTTCGTTCATCTTCAAGTTTTTTCTCTTCTGCTAAACGTGCCTCCTCAGCCAATCTAGCTTCCTCTGCTTTACGCTTTCTTTCTTCTTCGGCCAACCTTGCTTCTTTCTCTATACGTTTTCTTTCTTCCTCAGCCAACCTAGCTTCCTCTTCTTTGCGCTTACGTTCTTCTTCAGCAAGTCTAGCTTGTTCTTCTTCTTTGCGCTTACGTTCTTCTTCAGCCAGTCTGGCTTCTTCTTCTTTGCGCTTACGTTCTTCTTCAGCAAGTCTAGCTTGTTCTTCTTCTTTGCGCTTACGTTCTTCTTCAGCCAGTCTGGCTTCTTCTTCTTTGCGCTTACGTTCTTCTTCAGCAAGTCTAGCTTGTTCTTCTTCTTTGCGCTTACGTTCTTCTTCAGCCAGTCTGGCTTCTTCTTCTTTGCGCTTACGTTCTTCTTCAGCAAGTCTGGCTTTTTCTTCTTCTTCTTTGCTCTTACGTTCTTCTTCAACCAGTCTGGCTTTTTCTTCTTCTTCTTTGCGCTTACGTTCTTCTTCAACCAACCTGGCTTCTTCTTCCTCTTTGCGTTTACGCTCTTCTTCAGCAGCGCGTAAGTTTTGTCCAAGAATTTTGACATCCTGAAGAACAGAAGAAAATGACGTAAATAATTCCCTGGTTTCTTGTATAATAGAAACATATCTGGTGTCTTCTTGTGGATATAGTTTCTTGGAAATTTCTTGAAGTTTACAAATTCTTTGATTTTGGGGTTCTTCTCCAGATTTAATAAATTCATTAATTTCATTAAGAATTTTATCTGCTTGTTCAGGCGTCTTGACAGCCGAAGATTTCTTAGCAACATTGACTAGTTCGCGGTTACTTTCCTTAATCCATTCGTTTGTCTGTAAGATGTATTAATATTAATATTATTAAGTTTTCCAAAGGTAAACAAATTTAAAAATAAAGGTGAACACTTATTTTTGTAAAATTAGTAATAATATGATATTTTTAGCTGAAATTTAAATTAAATTACCTCTTCAACCAATGTAAAGTAAGGAACGCTGAGATCTATAAGGTTCCTGGTCGCTTCGACCTTCTTTTTGACGTTGTTCCATTTGTCTTGTACTTCAGTTGTTTGTTGTTTAATGTAAGGAGACTCTGGGTGGCGGTCTGCCAACAATTTCTCGGCAGAATTTACAAATGTTTGGATGCGCTGTTCGAAGGTCTGAAATAAAGTTAATTATATTAGCGGATAACATTATTAGTTGGGATGTGCTTGCATATTAATTTAGGGAAAGTTGCCAAGTCGTGAGGCGACGATCCGATGAAATAGTTTTTGTAGTTTAATTTACTTTTATTTTTGATATGCACATAACTTAAATTCCTAATTGAAGCAAGTGTCTAGACCTAGGTTATTTATTGTTTCGTTTTGCTTCTTTCATTTTCGCTAATTGCATTTTAAAATAGGAAAAAAAATACACGTAGCAAGGTAACATATTTGGATAAAATATAATAAATGAATTAAAATAAATCAATATTATTTTTTTATTTTGTAACAATATATATAGGGGTGTATTAGTATATTTAATTATTGGTAATAAAATATATTTGTAACCAACATTTCGGCATTTTTTTAAATTTGTTATTACTTAAAATTAGACTGCGTGACATTTACAAGTGTGTGCTCGTGATAAAGGTCTTCCTTTGGGCAATCAGTTGGTATGGATCGCTTTACGGGTAAAGATCGCGTTCTTTGCGTTAAAGCCTATTACAACAACCAACAAGAGATTTTTATTGGTTGTTAATCGTGATCTGTCAGTGAAATTAAGAGTTGTGAGAGGAAATTTGAAGAGGTGGGTAACACAACGCCATAAAAGGGAAGAAGCATCCATAAGAGCATCTGAATATAAGCAAACTATAAAAAAAATCTTCGCGTGACGATAAAAAAACTGTTGTTTTTGTTATATAATTGTAGGCTTTTACGCAAAGAACGTAACGCCATACCAACTGATTTCCAAAAAAAATTACGAGCACAAACTCCTTTCAAGTTGGTAATTTCAAATTTTTATAAATATTAATTTCGTTAATTTTTCGCCATTTTTTCAGCAAGTTTAATTTTTTTTAATTAGGTATTTATCATTAATATAAATATGGTGGTGATGAAAAAAGTAACGATAATGTTAAAATATAAAACGAAATAATAAATTTTATATGATGTAACAGGATTTGTACATACCTACACGGAAAAAAATCTATACTGATTCCAAGAAAATTCAACTCTATCCAAGTATAGCTTACTTTCCCTATTCCGCAAGTAAATTTATACTTGTTTCAAGTATCCTCATATTCTTATAAAATAAAGATAGCTTCGGTTTAATCTAAGATTACTGCTATACTAAAAATATGAAACACACTAATTTTGAGTTAAGTATACAAATTTGTCTTCAATGAAGACTACGGTATTCTTGTTGTAACGTTAGTATGTACTTCAAAATCTTTACAGTATTCTTATTTTAAGAATATACTTTCTTTAAAATTTATTTATTTATACTTATTGTAAGTACACGCTTTACTTGCATAAAATACTTGTATTCTTACTTTTCCTTTTTTTATATTTAAAATAACTTTTTTATATTTAAAATAACTTTACACTATTCTTAAAGAAAGTGGTTGTTTGGAAAAAAAATTCCCTCGTCTAGCGACGATAATTCATGACCCTGAAAAATATTTGTATTAATTATCCTACAACTACGGAAAATACAAGTGAAAGTGAAAATATAATCGTTATGACAGTAATTTAACAGTATTTTTGGCATATTATTTTAATGTACTAAAGTATTTTAATGTACTAAAGTACTAAGTATATATACTATTATAATAGGCACTGATATCACAATAGGTTTATTACCTAATAGTCTTAGAGGTATTAGAAAAAGTACTGTCAATTTATATAAATTCATTCTTTCACGCTTAATTAACATAGATACTATACTTTACATTTTATTTTTTAAGTACCTACCCAAGCAACACAGTTTCATCTTAAAGATGATTATTAGACGTCTTCGTCAGATATCTATAGATGGTATTGTTCAGATTGCAGATCGGCATCGAAATGTCCTCGAGATAGACGTATATATTAGGTACGTCATTATATCATTATAAGAGCATAGGTCTAAATTTGATCTTATATAAGTATTGCTTTAGATGATATATACATATATAGTTTTAATATGGACCTCTTATCTATGTATTTAGGAAATATCTATATTCAGACTAGATTAAGCAGAGCAGAGATCTAAAATTCATCTAAATCCTTTTAGTTTTAGATGAGTATATATGTAGTCCTATTATGGACGTCTTCAGTTTAAAATGAGCCGAGGTCTAAATTTAATCTAAATGCTTACTTTTTTTAGATGAATATATATGTATGTTTTATCTATGTTTTTAGGAGATGACCATATTTAGGTTAAATGCTTTTTTTCTTAGGCCAGTATATCTGTAATCCTAATATAGACGTCTTATTTATGTTTTTAAGAAATGTTTACATTCAGGATATAGATTTAGCACGACAGAGGTCTGAATTTAATCTAAATAATTGTTTCTTTAGATTACTATTATAGTATATTATTATTATTATAATATAAGTATACTTATACAGTCATCTAAAGTAACAATTATTTAGATCAAAGTTAGACCTCTGTCGTGCTCAATCTATATTCTGAATGTAAACATTTACAAAAAAAATAATACGACGTCTATATTATAATATAGACTTCCTATAGGATAACAGAAATACTCGTCTAAGAAAAAGGCGCTTAACCTAAATATAGTCATCTCCTAAAAACATAGAGGAGTGCGGGGTACATTGCTTATGCAAGAATTCTTGTAAGAAATTCTACAAATATGAAAAGTCTTTTAATGAATTTCTTTCTTCATATTTTATTTTCAATAAAAGCCAAATAGTTTTATATTAAATAACAAAAATCCTTAAAAAAAATAACAAAATAAAGTAGCAAAAATAAGTTCTATACATTCTATGTATTTAACAAAAACAAAAATTATGTTCTATTTTTGGTATCCCTTTGGTTTCTTTTAAATATAAGTTACTTTAAATATATATTATTAATTATTTTTATTTTTATTATAATTATAACACTAGGTTACCAGGCGTAACCAGTCATGAGTAGCTTTTATTATGGTGTTATCCGTTAATTCAGCTGAAGCGTTTATACCGTTGTTGATAAAATGTAGAAACACAGCATCTGAAAGGAACAAGGTTACATATATGTTACAGACAATTGTGAATTTCATACCCCCAAGAACTTCTGACGTTTTCGTAGATTTAAAGGCCCTCTTTCCATTATTTCGCGCTTAGTTAAATCTCTTGGCAACTTTATTGGCAAGCAAATATTTTAATCCATTTAAGGTAGCTGATCTCAGGTTGGTACCTTCAATAGCAGCTAATCTGTTTTTCTGTTGATAAACGTACTTACAAGTGTGTTAATTATATCATCGTCATTTATATAAGGTAATTAAAATAAATAAGAAAGCGGCTTACCACATACGCAAATTTGCTGGGATGCATTAGTTCCTCTTACAAATTGCCTGAAATCCGATCTTTGTTGAATTGGGAATGTTGGCAAACCAATAGGCCTTGTCAATTGCTTCACCTTGTTGTCTAAAAGATATCGAAGTATGTAGTCCAATTTGACCGTATTTTGATCCTGATGTCTACTCGAATGGAGGCATCTATTTCATGTGTTAAAATGATCTATTAGAAGGATGAATTAAAAAATGTGTTTTTTTTGACATAAACAGGAAAGGCCCTTATTATTATAAGTTTTCAATATACTTCGTCTCTGTAGTACAACATATGGAATCATGTTATTATTGGAAAATTTCCCTTGATCTATTAAAAAACGTAATTATCTACTTCGGATCTACTATGGATCAATTATAGAGTAATCACTTTTCTTTTCTTAATAATAATAATAATAAATTGTTAATTTATTGCTAACAGCAGACAACAGAAAGATTGAGAATAAAAAGACTAAAATTCAGTAGAAAATTATATTAATATTAATTTAGCCCCATTACCTATGTAAAAAAAATTGTGCGGACATTAATAAAACAATCATCTATTACGGATCTATTAGGGATCAGTTATAGAGCAATATAGGTATTAATACTAACTTAATTAAATAGGTGAATTTTCAATACATTGAAAAAATATCTTTATTTCTAACGCAAAACCTAGGGAGATGGATTTTTATTAGAAAACCGTATGAATCATACGTTATTATAGTTTATTTATTGGCAAAAGGTAAATATCTGCTCCATCTATTATAGATCAATTATAAATCCGTCATCCAAATTCAATAAAATGTTAATAATTATAAATGTAAACTTACCTAAAATGTTGTGGACATATGCACAGCACAAAAAGACAAAATTTATCACCACTAAATATAAAAATGTATCAAATTCACCAACTAAAACTGACATTTACATTGCAGCGAACTCAAAAGTAAGCACGCGAAGCCACAGTGAACAAAGGAATGAGATCGACCGTGCGCGCGCAGGCAAAGTAGCGCTAAAGTAAACATAACCTTAACTTTTTGTTTCTTTAAGAATTTTTAATATTTTTAATCCTTTTTAATAAAATTTTGCAATTATAGTAAAGTAAAAATAAATGTTATCTTTAATAAAATGAATTACGAGCAATGTTAATGGTGACAAATGCGTTAAAAAGGTTTAATGGGGAATTCGATCGTTCCCAGCAAACATTTTTGATTTTTAATTTAATATTACCCGTTATTCATTTTATTAAATTTAACATTTATTTTTACTTTATAATATTAAAATAACTTCAAAATATGAGTATCGAGATGAGTATGTTAAGAAAATATTTTACCGTTTGATTTTTGTACAAGCTTTTATTTTACATGCAATATTTGTTTGTTTGTATGTTAAATGTCAAATCTTAAAACTAAATTTTGAACCATTTCCTCCCAGATGGTTGTATCTATGCTCAGTAGTTTAAATCTATGCGCAGTAATTCCTGGATTATTTTATATATGCGCAGTAGGTTGTATTTATGCGCATTAAATGAAACATGTCCAGCAAAAAATAAAAAATAAATGGTAAAAAACATTTTTAGAGAAAATCTTTTATTAAATGCTATAAAAAGAAGAAAATAAACTTTAACCCGTTAATGCCCTGTTTAACTTCTTTGTTTTTCTTTTGTTGCTATTTTGTTTTAAAATAGCAGTACCAAGACAGATAAATATAGTTGTCATCTTTTTTTTGTATCGTTTGACCGCCACATATTCTAAATGACAACAAATATAAAACGAAGTTTAAAATAAGCAACTGCCTTATTTTTTACTATATCTTCTTGTCGTCTCTAGATTGTTTTTCTAAGGTATGCTACAGATGTCAAAAATAATAATTAACCAAATACCATTATATTAGCCTTTACAAGTTTTATATCTTTTAGATGTATTTAGATATATCATTAAGTGGCATCTATAAATGATTTGGCAATACATGTAAAAAACTAGTGAAAATCCTTAACATTTAAGAGACCTATCATTCTCAATGTCTAATACACGTCGAGCATAAGCTTCTACTTAAGTTTAAAGTGTATTATACATATTTTAGATGTCTTTGGAAAATCATCTAAAAACTATTTCATAAAATACGATCGAAATCAGATCCATTTGTATATCTAGATGTTATTTAGATTACTTATACCAGATTTAGACATCTATTAGATTACCTTGTGTTTCCTGGGTAGGTATCACATTTTTGGTGCTATATGTAAAGGTAAGGTTTTTAATCACAATAGTTATTATTTTTTTAAGTAGGTATTTTTATTGTCAGTAAAATTTATCTCCAGCTAAATAATTTGTAAAATGAGTCTCTAAGAAGGCTACCATTATCATCGTAGATGGTTTGGTGTTAATTCTTTAATTTTTTCTCTACACTTGATCCTCAATCCTATTTTTGGAATTAATTCCTTTAAATTCTCCTTGCTTAGGTTTACTGTAATATCGAGATCTATCTCGTTTTCTAAAACAAAAATAATATAGCTGAATTAAAGGCTATAGCCTTTCTGCTGTATATGTGTTATTGTCTATTACCTGTCGTATGCTATCCATTTTACACTACAGTATACCTATCCATTTTACACTACATTTTTACGATCATGCCTAGTTAATTACTTTAAATTAATGAAATATTATTTACTTACCCAAAAATGTGTCTAGTAAACATTCTAAGCCCCAATTTTTAAGTTTCTTCTCCATTATTTTTTATTAAAAATAACATCCAGACCGAAAAAGGAAAAAACAAACTGCCGGCGCCGACACGTACACACGCTACCACCATAGAACACAGGACAGAACTGAACACAGAAACTGCGTCTTTTCTTTTAGCGAAGCGGTCTTAGAGGGTGGACGGTACTTACTTAAGGGAAGAATTAGGTATTTGTTTTAATAATAGCTATACTTAAATACAGTATAGTGTATTCTTTGTTCTAGAGGTCTTATACTTAAATTGAAGTATAAGCGTTCTTGTATTAAATATACATATATTTAAATAAAGTATACCGAAATTTCATACAAATATACAGAATACTTAAAATAAGTAGCAATATTCCGCTTTGAGTAAAAAACTAGAGCTCTTTCATCTAAGCATTATTGTATATTTGATTTAAGTATACCAATTTTCTTTAAAATAAAATACCTTTAAACTCAATCCAAGAATACTCATCTCAAATCAAGTAACAGTTTTTCTTAAAAATTAAGTATATCCCATTACTTAGTTTAAATGTAAGCTAATCTCATACAAATAATAAATATACTTAAATCAAGTTCCTAACATGAAGTATAGAACTATTCTTAAACCTAGTAAGGGATTTTTTTCCGTGTATAACAGAAATATAAATTATCTACAGTTCTTGGAATTATATTTATAATAATAACTTAATTATTAATATTTTACGTAAATCTGTTTTTAGATCTAGATGGTCCTATATTAATATTAATTAATTCAATTAGATAAAGTGTATTCAGTTTGTTGAAATTTTACACTTTAATTTGTTCTTAATAAAACATGCATAGCTTACCTATTACATATAAAGTAATACATTTGAATTGCCTGAAAGTTACATCCTCGTCTAAAGAGGTTTTTATTATTTTTTAAATTTTATGGATGCTTTTAGTTGATCAATTTTGAGAGACTTTTTAAATAAATAGATACAGACATACACTTTAAACATTTAACTTACCTTTACTGTGGATTCCAATTGTTCGAAATTTTGTGATACGTTTTTGGCACCAGAAACAGAATCTCCGTAATGCCCCTTGCTATCTTCCAACTTTTTGTTAATGTTGTCCATTTCTCCATTTACTTGGTTAAGTTCACTGTTAAATTGGGTGAGGTCACGTTGTATGGAAATGATGTCGTGACGTTGACTCCATTGACTTTCGAATGTTTCTCTTCTTAGTTCAAGAACGTGCTGCAGTTTTTGAATGTCATGACGAGCTGCTTCATCAGGTTCCTGAAAAAACATTTAAATTTACCTATAAAGATTGAAAAGATTGGTAAACCAAATTTTATTAATTGCTTTATTCGGTATTGCGGGAGTGTATAAAGAAAAATATGGTGGACCACTATAAAAATATATTGTGTTAATTTAAATAAATTATCCCTTTTAGTTTTTTTTAAATACCAGTTTTTACACAGCCTACACACCTAAATGAAGATAACAGGAATATAATCGAATATGCCATGGATCTAGTCTCATAAAATAGTGGAAGAAATAGACAATTTGGAAGGATCAAATAATCCCTTTTCACAAATTTTGTGTTCACGTTACGTAAAAGTAAATTAAAAAATTTAAAGTCTTCTTTTGAGCGCTAATGTGAAGATTCTTTTGGTAAAAGGAAAATAGTGAATTTCATCCAGTGCATATTATTATGTTGAAGACAGCAGCACATAAGAGCTTGGATAAAATATCAGTTAAAAAAACGAATCTTACCAGCACATCGACAAAAATTTTTTGTATAAAGAAGCAGCCATTATTTTTAAATGCAAATTTAACATTTCAAAGGTTTGCTAAAATACCGTTTTTTAAAGACATCCAACAGGATGAAATCATTAATGGATATGTTTATTTTCATACTAGTAGTTAACCAAGAAACTCCTTTGGATGGCATATATATTTTAGTATCAACAAAATTTCGCCAGCTTACCTTTGAAAAGAAAGCTATTCAAAGTCAACAGTGTGGATGCTAAAAAAGATCTTTTTGTATCTAAAACATGGTTATAAAAGACCAAAGGCAAAGGCTAAAGGAAGAAAATGTAGCGACTACTACAATGTATTTTATTTCTAATGGATTTATAGAATTTTTGAGTTTTTGCGAACAAATGCGAAATTTTGCAAAATATACTAATCCCTAATTATAATATAATGTAATAAAATATAATAATATATTATAGTATAACATGTATACGTGTGCACACTTTATATTATACATGTATAATAAAGGTTAAGATATTATATACCTTATCAATAAACAATTACCAGGATGGAGTCTGGTTGGCTCGAGTATTAGAGACCAGCACCCCCAATGGATTTTAATTTAGCTCTTTTTTAAAAGCTATGGCCATGTTAAGTAAATGTCTTATACCTAGTCTTTATTAATCTACTTCACTTTAAAATATTAAATCATATGATTTTTATTTAATTTCAACTTAAAAATTTAATTTTTACCTTTTAATACATCGTAATAATTTATAATAGTAATAGTAGTAATGGTTGCCTACCACTGCTTAAAAAATATATAAACGGAAGGGACCGGCTTTCCCCTCATAGATTATTTACATCCATCATTACATTATTAATTAAATTCTTATTGAATTTTAAATTGTGTTATAAATTATATTGAAAAATATCGTTCTTTGCAGTGTGTAATGGTAAAGCCCCCGTGGATAAAATTTAATATAAATTATAACCATTAAAAAATTCAGGAATGACCCTCTTGTTTGAAACACCTAATATATATTTATTTTAAAATTTAGTTACCTGTTTCTTAATTCTATCGCATATTTGCTCGCATTCACTTTGAGCAAACCTAAACAGTTCAGTGATGGTTTCTTTGGAAAGTTCATGTTCTCTTAGCAAGTTTTCCACTTCGTTGAGGGACTGTGGGTATCCATTCTTCTCGAATTGATTGTTAAAGTTTTCAGCCTTTTTGTCAATTTCTTCCAAATTCTTGAAGTATCCAATCAATACTTGCAACAATATTTGGTATTCAGAGTTAGTTTCGATTAGTTTTTGTTGAATTTGGTTTAGTTGTCCCTTAACCTTCAGCGATTGGTCATCTGTTGACTGCGTTTTGGAAATAAGTTCTTCGGTAGCATTGATTTTCGCATCAAGGTCTTTCTGAGCCTTTTTAATTTCGGGAATAACTGTGGTTAGTTTACTTTCTAGTAGGTCTATTATATCAGAAGGTTTTTTCGAGCTTGTTGTTATTATTGGGTACAATTGGGAGTCCAATTTGGATACCAAACTAATCGTCTGGAACAAATAAATGCAATAAAATATAATAATTGAAGTTGGAGAATGTTAGTTTTTTAATATAAGTAACATACAAAAAGGGAAGCTATCCAAGTCGGCTAATATTTATCATTTAAAAGTTTAAATTTGAACCAACAAACTTATTTGTAAATGTATTATGCATGTTTATAAATAAAAATTATTTTAGGATATTTAGTATTGCATAACCAAAATTTTAATATACATATCGAGGAAGTCAAATCAGAAGGGCGTAAGCGCCACTATGGTCGGGTTTGGGTTTTTTGGGCGTATGGGCTTATTTTATCAATCTGCTTGATATATCAGAAGGGCGTATAGATTCGTGAACATCAGCACTCTAAATCAACCCATTTTACTTAGGCGTATGAACCAATAAGCCCATACATCCAAAAAACCAAAATCCGACCATAGAGGCGCTTATGCCCTTTTGATATGACGCCCTCGATATATACACCAGCACCAAGGAATATGTATATCGGCCCTGCGAGAGTGGGTGAAATAATAAATTCCCTGATTGTTGTTTAACCGGTGCACCGCGGTGGTCAAAATGCTATTTATTTAAAATTTGAAAAAAGTAAGAATAAAAGTGTTTGACAGTTGTCAGATGTCAGATAAAATATTAAATAATTACTTGAGGTAGTTGACTAAAATATTAAGTGCGACTATTGGTCACATTTCAGGAATCTTTTTTTTCCCATTAGTCGTACAATATCTAATATTCAACACCCATTTCGTTTTTTAACTTTAACCGTAGGGCGAAATTTTACTTCGCCCACTAGTGAGCGAAATAGCATTTCACCGCCGGGGGCTTGACAGCTGTTACAGATAAAATATTAAATAAAATTGGCTTTAAATTCCTTGTGGACCTTGTGGTAGTTAAATAAAATATTTTGTGCGCCTATTGGTCAATGATAATTGTAGTATGACTACTTATGTAAACTCTTGTTTAACCAAGTAGATTTTTAAGCGTTCCATTAATAAATAAAATTGAATATTTATTTTAATAATACAGTTGCAAAGGGGATATTTACCTAAAACTCACAGGCTTAGTTTTGCATGACCATTTGGTAGGTACTAATTTTTAAACTATATTTTAAACATTGTTTCAAATGCAATAGTTTAATTATAACAAATATAAACACCACCATGAACAATAAAATTTTAGTTTAATTTTAAAGCTTGCATTGCCTGTAGCCTTAAGCAGTTCCCTTTTTTATCTGTATTAAATGTTTTATTTATCTTTTAAAAATATAAATTATAAATAACTGTACTTGTTTTAAATATCCTAATAATACAAATATCTTATACAGTAAAATAACGTTATACTCTCTAAAAGTGAATTAGTCAAAAATGACTAATTGTCATAGCGAAAAAGCAGCCACAAACATTTTTCGTCAATAGCAATTTGTATCCCGAAAATTTAGCAGTCAATTTCCATGTAAAATTGTCCCCTGAATCCGAAAATTTAGAGTTAGTTAGAAAAGTAGAACAGTTTTTGAGATATAGTCAATTTGGAATTGATTGATTATGATGGTATTTTCGGATTCAGGGGACAATTTACATAATAATTGGTAATTAAATGTTGGGGATACCATGGTATCCCATGATTAACCATACAATCTATACATTCATCTGGAGAAAACAGTCCCGTCGCCTCATGCAACCAGGGGACTGTTTCAATTGATTAAACAATAAAATATACAGAAATGTATACTAAACAGTCCAAATGGTCACATAAGATAAATACTGTTTTCTCAAAATAAAATTCTGTCAAAACTAAATGTGGAAGATTTATAATAATAAGATTTAGAATCCTGAAAAATCTATTGCTAATAAAATATATGGGATATACCTTAAAGTTTGTATTCAATATGGAATAACTTTAATTGCCTATGACAGTTTTAGATAAATACAAAAATATTTCCATAATTTACATGTATTTTATCCAAGGCATTTACGGCCGCAATTGTTAGAGAAAACTACATTTTTGGGTTTAGACAGTAAATCCGACGTTTCGTGTCTTGATACTGAATACATCGTCAGGGATTGAATGTGTGTTGTTTTATCTTTTTAAAGATTTTGAATTTGTTTTAACCTTATATTTTAACTATGTTCTTTAATTCTAGTCCTTTTATTGGTTCGTCTATGCAAATACCACAAGGTACAAAGTTTTTAACTTAAAGCTATTCTTTTTTTAAGATAGCCTTTAAATTTTTAAGGGTGTTTATGAAATATCTTGTCCCTGTTGGGCTGTTTACGTAGGTGAAACCAAAAGAAGGAGAACTAGAATTATAAAACATAATCGAAATATAGGGTTTAAATAAAATATAAGACAGTTAATAGAATATGTATGTCCAAAGTAAAACAGTGGACCATAAACCAAGGAGAATGTCTTATCAAAAATAATAACAATAACATCAACTTAAAATTCAGTTTCAGTTTAAATTTTAAAGAGTTTAATCCCTGAAGATGTCTCTAACATTAAATAAATTATTCAAAGAAACGTCGGATACTGACTATCCTCAAACACGGTCTAAATCCTAAAATGCAGTTTTCTCCAATGTATTTTATTTAAATGTATACAACATTTGTTTGTAGTATAAGTAAGAACATTTTATAAAGAAACAAAACATGTATTTTAGGTATCGGAAGTTATTTTTGAATGAATACAAATATTAAAAAATATTGATCCATTGTAAGAAAATAAAATAACTTTAAAATTATTTTAATTAAAAAATGGTTACCTACTTAAAAATAGACAATTGAAATATTATCATTACTTTTCTGGCCCACCCAAATAATAAAGGAAGAAGTAAATTACGTGTTTATGGAACACAACATATGTTTGAATTTTTCTTCAACCCTAAACTCTATTTTGATCTCGGTCTAAATTTAACGTCTGAAACTAATTCTTAAGAGTCATGCTTGAATTCCTATTTAACGACTGTTTAATGTACAAACCCAAAAAATAATTGTTAAAATAAGAATTTTTAACTTAATTATTTTATAATTATTATTATTTATTGGGTATATTTTGAAATTAATAAAGCCAATAAGGTTGCACTCGTTTTTCAATTCAATGTATTTTAAAAAATGTTAAACACAAAACAGCTGCTTTTAAACCATTGTGATAGATTTTTATCATACCGCTGGCCAAGTGTGTTTATTATTGTTAAGCTATAAAAAAATTAAAAATGAGGTTAAAATATTCGCGAAATTTCTGGTACATTAGTAAAATAAAATAAAACACAAATAACTATGATGGTAAATTCAAAAATAACCGTGCCCACACACAACCACATTCGAATTTGGCATGTGTTAGATTAGAATTTTTATTTGAATTAATTCGAGGATTTTTTTATTGAGAACTTTATGGAACGTTATGATAGGTGCCTGTTTTCAACAGGTGTAAATGCAACAGGTTGGCAACTATTCATAAACAAACTTGACCGCGTGAAAACTTCGCTAATTGTGTTTTTTTAATTTTGTTATTTTTATGTTTATGATCATTTTTATTAATTTTGCAATTACATCTTAAGGCTTTAGGGTAGTTCTATGGATAATATAAAAAAGGATTTAATTTTAAAAATATACAAAAAGTTTTAAAGGATTAAAATAAATATTTTAAATATAATCAAAAAACAAAAATTGCTTACTTTTGTGCATTCCTCCATGGTTTGTTCGAGGCGCACTAGGAGTTCACGTTTTTCGGTAACTTCTGTGTTGAAAGTGTCCCAATTTTTCGTAACAACTAGTTGTCTTCTAGACAGTCTTTCCAGTATGGATTCCACGCACGCACAGGCACGCTTTGCATCTAGTTGCGGTTCGGATACCTAAAAGATAAATATAGCACTTAAGAAAATCTTAGACGACAAGTAAAATCTATTCTATTCCGATAGGGTTTCATTGATCAAGTATGTGCGTTAAGTATTTTTTAATTGTTTGTTCATTTAAAGATAAATAGAAACATTTCTAGACATTTAATTTCGTTTCAATTTATAAAAAATGTGTTGGATTTAATATAAAAGTTGATTTAAAAGTATTGTATTTTGGATTTTTATTATACCTTCCAGCAAAATAAAATTCAGATATTCATTTAAATTTATCATATCAGTGAAATATAATTTAACTTTCTACTAAAACAATAATATTATTAACCTTTTAAGAACCAAATAATACATTGCCAATGGAATTGTAAAATTTCATAAAAATAATTGGAAATAACATATTTTTATTTTTAATTTACTATAAATAATATTTATTAGATATAGTTTTAAAATTAAAGGAAATGTATCGGTTAATCTGTATTATCTGTATTTTATATTTTTAAAATAATATTAGGCACTTTTAGACACATTTGCCAATTAAAAAATATCTTCGTGTTTTAAAATTCTCTAGTTATTATGGCACATTTTTGTGTTTTATAGACCTTTAATTTAAAAATCCATTTGGATTTTTTAATTTTTTTTATGTTATTTGCCAATCAGTTTTAATTATATATGTACCATAATATGCGTTAAAACTATTAAATAATAACAGAAGGGCCAATTTTTGATGATATTTAAAAAAAATTATTAGTTTTAAAAAGATTATATTGTAAGAAGGTATGATTTAAATTTTTAAAGATTGAATGTTCTCATTTCTATTATTTCGATTTTTAATAAAAACCGCTATTAGATGTTAATTATTTTATATTATGAAAATCTACCTTCATATAAAAGTATTGGTAGAATATTAATACTTAATAAACCAAATGTATATTTATGATTTTTTTCAAATTTTTTAGTAAAAGTATATAAATGAAATATGTTAAAAGGTTTTATACAATGGAGTTTTTTCAAATCTAAAATAAAGCTTTTAATGTTGATAATATAATATATTTTTAGTCTTAACTTGACATACAGTATAGCAAGTGTTGCATATAAATCCATTAAATTTATATATAGAATAAGCAAAATATTGTAAACTGCAGTTTTATATACAAAAAATGGATATCTTTAAATTTACGTATATTAAGTATGGTTTAAAACTTTATACATAATTATTGATTTAAATTAAAAAAATGTATAGATATTTATTTAAACTGCTCACAAATTAAAGTCAATCTTTAAAATGAAATTACTGTAAAATTCTCCAAAATAATCCGATTTGGAAACAGCTTTCACTCATTTGAAAAATGAGGCCTGTCATAGCAAAACCGACAATCTCCACTTTTGGTCAAAAATTATATTTTTAGCGGAGACTGTACTTCAACTAATTATCTATAAGATGATAAAGTTTATGTGCTGCAAAAGGAGCTAAATCCTGCCTAAAATCCAATCTTAAAAATGACATTTAGTGCAAAGTCGACAATCTCCACTGATAGATTTGCAGCAAAGTATACAATCTCCAATTCCACCATTAGAAATTATTAATTTGTGTCACCTAATATCCTAACATTTGACGTATTTTAGAGATTTAATTTTGTGTTTTTTTACTGGTAAATACTGTTAAGTTCTATTGCAGTAAAAGGCACTTAAAAATATATTTAAAATAGGTATATATATATATATATATATATATATATATTTTATTGTTTTAAGAATTATAACAAAGTTATCTTGTTTATTTTGTGCTATTATACCATAATAAGACGTAAAGGTAAAGCAAGAAAAGGCTGATAATGTCAAAACATTGCAAGTAAAACATTACGGGGCAAAGTGGAAAGAAGATGATGAGTTGTACTATAAAAACTGTTTTGCACGAGGCAACCTGGTCCCAGATCTAGAAGAAACTCCAGATTTATGTGGTCCAGTTCAGAATTTTCCCACATTGATTGTATAGTATTTTATACTCATTAAAGGAATAAAAAAACAATTATTATTTTGTTTATTTTTCTAAATCTCCTTAAACGTTTACAACAAAATGAGCAATCTCCAGCAATTCATATCAAAGTCAGCAATCTCCAATTTATAATTATAGATTATATATTATACTATGCATCCTGGAGACCTTGTAGTTGGCTACTAGACTTAGTCTAGTAGACTAACAACAACAATATTTCAATATAATATATAAAAAAAATTACAAATCTAGAATTTCAAATACCAAAATCAATTATCTCAATTTACTCAGTTTTAGTCTGATGGGAGATTGTTGACTTTGCTCTGACAGGCCTCAAATATTGTTTCTATTTTCATAAACTGGTATAATTGTCATGACATTGTCATTTTATAGGTATGTCTGATACAGGGTGATGAAATAAGTTGTGCAATTTTGTTATTTTTAAGTCCAATGCAGGAGTTTCTTATGTAGTATGTTATGGATTGTAGTTTGTGTTTTAAATGTTTTTAGGTTTATTGAGTTCTCTAATTTTTTTTTCCAAAAAAATTATTTTTTCATAAATACTAATTTAAACAACATAAGTTTATAAATATTTATATTAAGTTATATTTTTAGTCAATAATTTAATACAGTGTCGGCAGTTAAGTACCCAGTAGGGTACTCAAGCTCTCATCACTGCTGCAACTCGTCTAGGCATACTATCCATTAGCTTATTGATTAAAAGTTGTAGTATATCCTGCATTTGCAAGCTGCTCCAAATTTAGAAAATCCTCATTACGTTCGAGTAACCTTTCTTTCAGATGAGTCTAAACATGCTCTATTGGATTATAATTAGGCGATCTTGCAGGCCAGTCCATTCGTATGATGTTGTGATCCAATAACGCTTAATTCACAATTCTAGCCCTATGCGGACAAGAATTATCCACAAAAACGTAATCCGTGCCTTGTTGTTAAATAAATGGTGCAACTATAGGCTCCCTAACCCGATCTCTATATCGTTCACCGTTCATCGTAAAGTTAATGAGCACTACAAGGTCAGTACGGCTATCATGCGAAATTCCACCCCAGACCGTCACTGATCCACCTGTGGAGCCATGTTCTGCTCTTAACAACGAGCTCCAGGCCCCCTTCAGATGAGAATACGTCCAACTGACTCATACATACCGAACCTGCTTTTATCTGTAAAAAGACAGGGTCTTCACTATTCAAATGCTGTTCGGAGATCGCAAGCCCATGTTCTTCTGGCTAAGCGTCATCGGGCAAATAGCTGCTTATCGTAGTCTGTATCGAATCGTTAGCATCGAAATTTCAAGTCATGTAGCATATATAAGCTTTCTTGGATTGGCTCTTGCCCGTCTAACAAGAAGGCGATCTTCCGCTACTGAAGTTAATCCTGGGCGACCTCCAACACGTGTGATTAAAAATACATAATTTTATTTGGAATTCCAAATTAAAATTGATCTTAAGATCAACGAGTTAACACGTTTATAAATTAATTTATCATTAATTAATTTATGCATTTGTAAAAAGATACCTAATTTTAATTAAAATTGGATATCTTTCTATAAATGTAGACAATTTTCACAAAAACTAAAATAAGTGACTTAAAGAAAAATATATTTTGGATTATTACTTATTGACCAAAATTTCGCAATTAATCAATTTTATGAATGATTAACAGCTAAGTTTTGGACTTGCCTTGTCTTAATTTGATTGTATCTCTTACAACGTTTCAATTAGTAATTATCTCTAATGGTCTTCAGGTAATAACTGAAGACAATTAAAGATAATTACAATTAATTGAAACGTAAGAAAAACAATCAAATTAAGGCAATGCAAGTCCAAAATTCACCTGTTAATCATGGCCAGAAATATTTCTTTAACCATCACATGTGCTGGCTATATGAACCTCAATTGATGACGCAAATGATGCATATCTTTAAATAATAGGAGATTTTTAACAAGTCAGGTTTTTCTTTTTAAAATATTACATAATTTAGTTTACTCTATACGTATACGTTATTACTTTCCAAACTTAAGTTCTTAGTACCACGTTTAAATTCTAGACAAAATATTATGTTTTATTGTGGTAATTGCAGAACCAATGTTTCGTTAATGTTATATCTTCAAATTATAATAAAATATGTAACTTTTGCGACATAAATATTTGTTCACTTAAAAAATTGATTTCATGCATTTTTTTATATTTCATCTAGTTTATTATTGTTTTTTTTAATATATTTACATTTTGATACTTAAAATGAATTGTAATTCTTGTCCTGTAATTGGATTCTCTGTTGGGCAAATAAATACATTATTATTATTATTATTATTATTATTATTATTATTATTATTATATGTGACATATGTGCGGATTAAGAATCACGTTGTGACTGCAATATGCGTAAATTATGAACCTCACAATGTTTATCCAACCATCACATGTGCTGGCAATAGGAACCTCAATTGATGATGCAAATGATGCATATAAAGTACAGGTTTATAGGGTGATTAGAATATCTCACGCACTAAAGTTATAAAAAAATGACTCGAGTTTTTTATTACCCAGTTTTCGACCTATGGCCCATTTGGAACAGTCGGTATTATCACGAAATTATCACCTACCGGTCACCCAGTACTGTCTTGCCCGTACAGGCAAAGTAGCGGCAATTATTATGTTTTAGTAGTGTGCACCACTGGTAAGGCAGTACTGTGCAGTAAAACCACTACTGATTGAATACTGGGGTAGTAATGATGGTTTTTCCCCAATTAGGTGTCGTCATTTACAAAATTTAAGCAGAAGTCTTCTGCCTATTCTACTTAATTTTTAATTAAGTTACAGAATAGACCCCTACGTAGGTTATGATTGACAAAAACGTTGACATTTTATAAAAATGGAAAGATCATATTCACACTACTGAAAACTGTTTTAACTTGTGTTTTTACAGCACTTTAAAACAACCCTGTTTTATAAAAATTATTGAACAGTTTATTCCACAAAATAATTAAATAATCAATTGGGACTTTTCTAAGACGAAATCTTAAAACTAACACAAATATTTTCCGTAACTTACATTTACATTTACATACATTTTTTATTGATATGATTTACTAATTTTTTTTCAGAGACACAACTCACGGCAATACCTGTATTTGTACTTACCACTTGTGCTTGATTAATAAACGTCAGTCCCGTATTTTTCGCAGAATTGTATAATGGAACCACAGACTCAAACTTCTCTCCAATACTATTTAACAAAGTATCATCGATATTACTTTGTTGTCTTTTGATAACAGATTCCAGCTCGTCCATTTCCTTGTTAACAATATCGGCTTCCATTTGGAACTTAACGTAAACTCTGGATAAGCCCAATCTGTTCTCTAAAACACCTTTGAGGTGCATCCAGCGGTTATGGAGTTCCTCCACTTTGGCATCTACATCTTTACGTTGGCTGTCTTCTAGGTATTCTAGAATTGGTGGCAGTGTTAGTAAAAGCGCGTTTATCTCATTTCCTTTAGTCTGTAACAAAATTAATATAATTAGTTCATGTAAAATATTATATTTTCTTAATAATTAAAAAATGGGAAGGTACAAAGGTAAAATTATATATTTTGTCCCAATTTTAACCTCACCTAGTAAGTTGATAAATAATAGGTATTTTGGCAAAAGTAATGGTTTAAAAAATGTAAAATTCTTTAGACCACCGGCATTAATTTTTTATATAATTTGTATATAATACAGGGTGTTATGTAATTAATGTTATATATTAAAATGGGTTGTTCCTTAGGGTCCATAAAGAAGCACCTGAAACTTTTTTTTCTAAATTCCAAAGTCTAAAAATAATTTATAATAACCTTTAGCCTACCAAAAAGTACGCCACTGATCGACTAGCAACTTTAGGCTATTCTGGTTGCCTAATTTAATTTATTATGTTATGGTTGGTACACTGTTCAAAATCAAGCCTTTTGAAATACCTAATCAGAATTAGTTAAGGAAAAATAAGGTAATATGCTTAAACGAGTAAAGCAAATTACCTTCTCGTTTAGTTAGCCTTAGTTCTATGGTGTATTCACTAACTTCTAAATAAATATTCATACTTTACTTAATAAACTTGTCAAATTTAAAAAGATAGGCAGATTACCTAAATATTTAGTCAAAATCTCAATTACTTTTAGGTACGACAATTTTGCTTTTAATTTAGGTAATTCTTCTAAATTATTATGGCAAATTATTGAACTAATTTAGATAAATTCCTTTAAATATTAGTGACTTACTTGCAGTCGGCTACGATCGCTAATACCGACGTTTTACGAAAATTATTCGCGCCTATATTGTCCACCATAATGCCAAAATCAACGAAAGCGTAAAGACCGCGTTGTGTGCTATTGATGTAACAACATAGTTAACAATTATTGTGCTATAAGTGAACATTTTGTAGTGCTATAGTTAAGTAATCCAAACCAAATGGAATTTCCCATTGACCCCAATTTATTTTTAACCCTGTAGTACCGGAACCGCCGTTGTTAATTCGCCTAGGACATAAAGATAAAGGAGTCCTAACTTGGAAGAAAATTCCCATGCCAAAAGAAACTTTATTAAACTTATAAATTAATAGAATTTTTTAGGGTATACCTACCTATTATCTAAAAAAATTAGATATATTTACCGTTAAAAATAAGAGGATTTTTACTAAAAATATATATGATTTGCCTGAAAACTTAGCTAAAATATACCTATAAATTTAAGAAAATCGCCTTAGAAACAGGAAATTTATTCTTTTATTCTCAGGCAATATCCCTTACGATCTAAGGTGTATCATCTTTGAAACCTAAGTGATTTTGCTTAATTAATTCTATTATTTTCTTTAAAAATATCAGTTAAAGAATTCACTAATTTAAAAGGGGAATATTCCTCTGAATTCATTTCAAGCAGTTTGCCTTAAAAAATCAATGGTCCTATATAGTCTAATTTTTTAGGTAAAAATTAGCTAAAATTTTGAACAGTGTAACAACAGTGTTTCCAAAATCTGTCAAAGAAGTTGACAAACATTCTTTAAATTTAGCTTAATTACAAAAATGACAAAATTAACAATGCAAATTGTCAATTTGGCGTTTTTATTAATTGTTGGTTATGTCATTTTTGTACTGAAGGTAAATTCAAACAAAATCTGCCAACTTTTATGACAGATTCTAGTGCATTTCTTTCAAATTTTAGGTTATGTGATCAAATTGTAAATATCCAAGGGAAATTTTCTAATCATTGCTTAAGCTAATAGCTGGATGAGTAAATAAATACAGAAGGGTATTAGAGCTTAAAGGGCATAAAACTTTTGTATTTATTGAGTTTTTATTTATTTTTTGCAAGAAAAATTTTTAGTAACAATTTTTTACATCTGGCAACGCGTAGCTACTTTGTTGGTTGGTATCTATGTACTCACAGAATACAAGTTTGCAGAGATACACCAAGTGTGTAACCAGTGGCGTATCACAAAAAATATAAAAAACTTCTAATGCATATTTTTTCTTTATCTTTGGAAAAATATTTTTTTTAATATTTTTCCTTTATTCCTTATGTCAAAAGGTATTCAGTATTTTAATATATAACGTTAATTACATAACACCCTGTATATAAACTAATATAAAGTTCTGGAGAAGTTTGCGAAAAAAAATCCGCCTAGCCCCCCTGATAAAGATAATACAAATTTTAGTGGTGCAATTTATAATTTACCATAGTTTATTGATGAATTTTAAAATTTATTTAAAAAATCCAAAAATTTCAGATTTTATCCCATTTCATATTTTTATTATTTAAGGAAAAGAAATATTTAAAATGGTGTAAAATCTGTAATATTTAGAATTTTTAAATAAATTTTGTATTTTTTTTGATAAACTATGGTAAATTATAAATTGCACCACTAAAATTTGTATTATCTGCATTAGTGGGGCTAGGCTGCAGGGTGGGCGTATTTTTTTCGCAAACTTTAAATTTTGCCTACCCAGAACGTCTTAATTTAGTTTAATTCACTTATACAAAATTTGGTGAATGTCCCATGTCGAATAACTAATAACTAATAACGCAAAATCCACCAGCCGTCACTGGGGCCCAGCCTCCATATTTGTCGGAGATACCCTCTTTTGACTTTGTTTCCAAAAATAATAAAAACCTTAAAGGGCAGTATTTACAAGCATATATAAGATTTAAAGCTCATCGCTAAAAGAGCATAAATACCAAAGATTGGGTTTTAGAATTGTTTTGGTGAGTGGAAGAAGAGCTGACATTAGTGTAAAATATTTTTTAAGAGGATAGCATTGATGTAGACAAATAAAAACTTTTGAAACAATATAATTTTAAAGCTTTTTCTTTTAATTTTAATATATGAATTACTATTCTGCCCTGCTACGTCAAACCCTTGTATGTACAATATTAAGTAACGAAGAAAAAATATAATTTTTATTGTTAAAAACAATAAAAAATATATTTTTTCCTTTATTACTTAATGTTGAACATACGGGGGTATTAACATAAGTAACATTAGTATTAACATAATATAAAAACATAACCTTATGTAAAATATATAAATATTAATTTAACTTCTTTCTTTAAGGTTAACTTTTTTTAACAACTAACACAAACAATAATACTACATGTAAAATTAAATTTCTAATAATTAATTAATAAGGTTTAGAATTTAAGCTATTTAGGCAATGCAGCTAAAAAAATTATTTTAACGCATGTTTTTAGCCAATTTAATACCTGAATTAACAAAAACTTAAGGCACTGATTATAAAACTGATAATGTTTTGAAAATGGATACAAAACACTAGATTTAGACAATCTTCATACGTAGTTCTTCTGGATAAAAGCGATTTAAATAATTAATACAAACATAAACAAAGAATATAATAGGTCAAATCGATTTAAAATTACCTATACAATTTTCTGTCTTCGTTTGTCGGTTTATTTTGTAGCACTTTGTGTTATTTGTATTCATAAATGCAATTTGCAACATCTACAATTATTGTAGATGTTCAAATTGCGTTTATGAATACAACCAACTTATTTAATGTTAGGTGTCAGACATTATTATAAACTTAAAAAAAAAGTATGATGATAATAGGAGTAATTGATATTTACCTGTAGGTCAACTTGCAACTGGTTGTGCAAATCAAGAAATTCTTTGGATGAAGGTAGATCGCTTCCCATATCTCTATGTCTTTGAAGAAACGCATCAGCAATAGTGACCAGCCAATGATAAATTTCATTGTGTTTCTCCAAGAAGTTATTAAGCGCCGTATTAATCCTGATATTTTCTTCCTTATGGGCTGTACAAAGCCCATCCAGGACAATTTTTTTATTTTCCAATTCTTCCACCATCATCCTGACGCCTTCAGTCCCAAAATTCATACGACCTGCCAGGTCGAGGATGGCATGGCCATCTTGAATAGGAGCTGAGGTTGCTTCCTGGATGGTTTTCGCGCATTGTGAATGAAGTTGAGCGAGTTGTGGGGAAGTTTTGGCGAGTTCCGTAGCTTTAAGTTGTACCTCTATTTGGTCTAGTTTGTTTAATACCTAAAAAACAAAACTGAATTAAAAAAAAAAAACATTATAAACCGTACATGCACTAATTAGAAAATTTCCATTTACATCTACTACTTAAGTAATAGCTGATATAATTACACCCATGCGATTTAAGTTAATTGCAATAATAAGCTAGTTTGCGTTTTTTAATACATAATCTAGGTAAATTAATAACGTTAACAACGTTTCCCGAACCCGGAAGATCTTAACCTTAATGAGATAATCGTTCATCTAACCACGATTCTTGTCGGCATATTGCATTTCAGTTCGTGCAATTTTTTAAATACCCACTATAAAAACGCAACAGCCGGAAATAAGAACCGTTTGTTTTAAGTATTAAAATTTTACAATATAAATATAGTCTATGAAATTTGTTATGACAAAAAATCCAACCTTTGACAAACTTATAATAATTGTTTTTAGGTAAAAATAAAATAAATAGAGAAGTCATGTTTTAAAATTGACATAGCGACCATATTTAAAATTAAAACAGGGCGCCAGTATAAACTGTGTTATTATAAATATTTAAATTATTTTAATAGAATAATAATTTTTTATTGCAACTTATCTTGTAATTACAATTTATGGTTGTAATAATCGAATTTGTCTGCTCTTCCTTTGTGTTTAAATTTATTAGCGTAATTTTTCACAACAGATTACCAGTAAGATACAGCGTGTTTAAAAGTCTACTTTTAGATTCTTATTAAACAGCCATTTCACTTTACTCGGCAAATTTTGTAGAGTCCGTAATATTAAAAAAAAAGGTGAGTAAAAGCTACCGTAAATTAATTAAATACCACCTATCGCAATAGTTACTATTGCAAACATGTTTAGTATGTTTGTAATAATTAAGATTAAGCTTACAAGTAATATTATTACGGATGCTACAAAAATTGCCGAGTAACGTGGAATGGCTGAAAAGCAAGAATTGAACCATTTTGCATACATTCTAAATTTGCGAACTATATCTAGGAACACCTTTATTTGATTATTTTCAGAAATGAACCTGTTTAATGACCAAAAAAGCTGTTATTTAGTCAAAAGATCTATTTTTATCGATGTGTAGGTCTACAAAACTTTTAAACAAAAACCAACATATACCCGTACCCTTTTTTTACAAAACTAATCACGACATCTAAAAGTACTTCTTTTAAAAATCATCAAAACAAACTAGAATAAACCAGATATAGTTATTGGAATGAAAATGTAATACTAAATATTAAATAATAAATAATGTGTTTAAAAAGTACATTTATTGAAATTGGTCCAACACTATGAAATAATAATTGTTTTACTCCTATTGCATATTATTTGCAATATTCGTGTATAATGGTAACCATTGTAACCAACCCTCCTAACAACGGGAATAATGAACTAATTATTCACTTTGTTAGGCATCAGTGATTGGCTGCTTTTATTATTTACTGTGATTTAAACAGTGGCGGCTAGTGGATTTTGCGTATTAGACATGGGACCAAATTTATAAGAGTTTATAATGACACTAAATTAACAAGTTCTGCGCAAGCAGTCTCATTATAAACTCATATAAATTTGGTGTGGGTCCTATGTCTAATAACTGAGATATGGCATATGCAAAATCCACCAGCCCCCACTGGATTTAAACCAATCGTGTTTTAAATTGAAAAAAAGTGAGGTTGGAACTGTATAACAGGTCAAAAACTTCAATATATACGAAGGGCGACTATAATGATATTTTGTTATTAATAAAAATTACTTAATTTTAGTAGGAAAAGCATAGTATTACACTAGAGATAATGCGCATTATTTAGATGATTTACGTCTCTCGCCTGACGCTCGAGACGTCAACCTCATCCTCGTGAATAATCTCTCATATGAGAAGGTCCATTCCATATTAGTTGTTTTTGAGCAAAATGTCAAAAACCTTACACGTAAGTACTAACGCATATCAGGCAAACACAATACTTTAAACGAAATATAAAGTAGAACATTTATATACCTTAATTAAAAGTATAGCTTCAGTTTAAAATAATTTAAAATTACATACGTATATGCCGAGTTCTGCATGATATAACCAATAAATAGGGCAAGTTTTGGAAGGATAGTCAATTTGTAAATGAATTTTAAATGAATAAGGTTAGTTTTAGAATATTATGAACTTTTCAGGGTATAGGGGGATACATGTTAAATGTACAGACACCACTAACTCATTTTTATTAAAAGGTGGATAAGCCGAGTTTTGGAATGGACCTCCTCATATAATATTATACTATTAACTTAAAATAGTATTATTTCATGTATGCTTTGAGATAGTGATTTTAACGAAGTAAGCATTAAATAAATGATCATGATGTGAAATAAAAAAAATCTAGGCCTGAGGCACTGAAAAAACCGTTTTGTATTCAGTTAAATTCGAAAAGTAGTATTATTGCAAAAACATTTCATTAATCTGTCTTTAATAAATTACATCAAGCCTCAAACAATACAGCTATTATGGAAAAGATTTGTATCTCTTCAACTAACCGTTCTGAAAATATAAATAAATAGTTTAACCCGCTTCAGTAGAGAATCACTACTTGCGAGATTATATAGATAATGAGACAATGTCGGATAAAATTATATAGCTTGTTAGGCAACGATTTATTTGAAATTTATCTGGTTGTACTAAAACCGCATTCTTAAGGGTCAAATTCATATAACCAGCAAACAAAAAATCAGTTTTTCATTACGGGATTTAAAAATTAGTGAATAATTATTAGAGCTTAATTAGTAAGTTTAAATAAATTCAACTTATTGTCTGGACAATTAACCATCATTGTGATTTATTTTGGTCTCTTAATGATGTAAATTTGCTTCTAAAAAAAGATTGTAAAAAGCAATTGTTTCATTTTTTCACTCAGGAACTTTTATCAATGAATTAATCTACTTCACCCGAAAAACGACATTAATCAAAATTAATTATGTTTGATTTATTATAGTTTTAAATTTAATATCAGATTAGGATTTGTTTAAATTTTGTGTAAATTTTTGTGTAAATATTAAAACTAGTAATTACCGTTTGTGCTAATCTGAAGAAACTGATGACTCTCTCCAGCAACGTTTCTCTGTCAGTCAACTCCTCCAGATAACTAGAGGTAGATGACAAAACTTCATAGGACTTGCTGGTGGCTTGTTCCCCAGCAAAACATCCGGAAGCGACCAATTGTTCGGTCGCCTTTGTTATTTTTAGAGCCTTTTCTTGTAGCTGTTGCGCTTCCGGCAATAACTTTTTATGTTCGTGCAGTAATAATTCGGCGCTTGAGGAAGAGTTCCCTGAAATTACAAAGTACCTACCATAAACAATCATGAATGTATACCAAATACACATATGTATTAAAAGTCCTATTTAAGGATTTATAGGTTGTGTTAGTATTTATTTTAATAATAATAATAATAATTTAATATAAATCAAATTAAATTTTGACAACAATAAATAATAATTTACTATGCTTAAAAATAGCAAATATGTTTATTAATACGAACATACGTATAGGTATTTTGTTGTAAAGTTGTATGTTGCGAAACACCGAGTCAAGAGCGACTGGTTAATTAATTTCATTCAGCGGGACTGTGTTTATTTACAGTGGTCTTCTTAATTTAAATTTGACCTAAATAAAAGGTTAAATTTGATGAAAGAGATTTTAACTACTGAATTAAATTCAAAGTAAACAAGATACATATCCGCAGTATTAAAATATCCTCTCTTACCCAATTGGTTACTACTTTGCAAGCTGTCTCTTCTTGCTTGTACTAATTCGTCTAGTTCGCGTAAATCGCATGCTAATATTGCTAAAGCTAAACATTGTTCCAGTTTGGTTTTTCGATTGTTGAAGTTTATTTCTAAAGTTTGTCTTCGTATGTGCAACTGGTCCATCCAACCCTGTACTTGTGCTATTGCTAAAAGAAAAAAGTAATATCAGAAAATATTTACTTTTGCAGGTACTTAAAATTATCATAAAAAGTGAACAAATATAAATCAAGATCGCTGAAATGTTATGCTTCTTAATTTATAAATGGATTTATAATCTTTTCCTTTTCGCTGTAATTTCAATACGAGGTGTGATCAGAAAATATCGGGAATTTTCGTATTTTGAAACAAATATACCAATACTCGAAACACTCCTAAAACTCGGTCTTTGGGATAGCCTTTAGTTCTTTCAGCGATGCGCTTTTAATGCCATCTATGCTTGCAAAACGACGGCCCTTTAAGGTTCTCTTTATTTTTGGGAATAGGAAAAAGTCAGACAGAAGCATGTCTGGCCAATATGGAGGCTGGGGCATCATTACAGTATTGTTTTTGTCCAAAAATTTTGTTCAAAATTTAACAATTTTAGAACAAATTTTCTCCACGCGTTTCATACCCAAAACATTCGAAAAATTTTTATGGGATGAGCCAATCGATATACCAACATCATCAGCGACTTCTCTGATGGTTTATAACAATTTCTTCCACTTTTTCCATGTTTTTATCGGTTGTTAATGTGCTTGTGCGTTCGGGGCGTTCGTCATCTTCAACGTCTTCACGGCCATCTTGGAAACTCTTATACCACTTGTAAACTCTTGTTTTACTTGTAGCAGACTCACTATAGGCCTTTGTTAAAATTTCACAGAATTTATTTCATTTTTTAAGCAAAATTGGATACAAATTCTTTGATCAATTTCTTTAAGCAAACGAAAAATCGCCGAGCTCATAAAACACGTCTAACCTTAGCGGCTGCCACAGACAAAGTAAACAATGAAAACAGCTAAAGTTTGTATCATACTTCGGGGGCATGTATACCAACATAATAAAGAAAATTTTATGACAACCGGACCCTCCGAACCCGCGAAATTTAACAATTCCCGTTATTTTCTGAACAGGCCTCGTATATTAGTATTAGACTTGAGCATTAAGGAAGCTTAAAAAATGACAGAATTAATCCTGAAAACATTACAAACAATTAATAAGAATGCTATGTTTTAGAGAAAACTGTGTTGCCCTTTTATAGCTTACCTCGGTTAACTGAAATTCTAATTCGTTCGGGTCTCGAGTCGAGTGTGCCTTCGGCTCCAAGTTCCTTAAGTTTCCCCAAAAGCGAGTTTCCCGCCTGAAGAGCCGCCATCAGCGATTCCAACAGCGTCCTCCTGAGATCGTGTATTGTCGTCAGTAAAACCTTTACAGCTTCTATATCAGCTGGTACGATGGCATCTGAACAGGAAGCTTCCAATTTGTCCATGCTGTCGAAAAACTCACCGGCTTTGGTATGATACTGGACGTTCAGATCGAGTATTATTTTTCTTAATTCTAAGAGGGAGTTTATGTCTTTCCACGCTCTTCCCAGCGATTCTGCCATCGCCGCGTAAACTTCTGCTCGAGGTTTTTGGGTCGCTATTAACTGATCGGCTTGTCTGAGGAGTTCTTCCACGGGACTTTGTTTGTTCTGAAATAGAGTATCTAATTAGGATTTTTTCGTACATATCACGGAAATGGTGAAAATATTAGATGGATTATTATAAACGTTTTTTTGTACCTATTTAAAAACAAACCTAAACAATGTGATCATGTAGAACAATAAATTTAAAACTTGACATTAGTAGGGCAACATTCCATTATTCTAAATTGGTAACTTAAAGACTTCGAAATAAAGTTTTTTCCAAGGGTTATAATTATAATTATAAATATATTTATTAGTTTATTCATATTGCACGCTTATTATAATGATTATGAAAATAATTCTATGAAATATTTTAGGTGGGTGCAAAATGATTATCAATGAGGTTAAAGACGTAGGTTTTTAAAGTTATATAGTAAAACTATTTATCATTGATTTAAATAAGTGTAAATGAGTTGGGTTCCATTAACATAAACAAATACACAATGAAAGTGTGTTTGTGGATGACATTATTATTTCTTGACAAATCATATTTTTAGATTTCTTTTTTTATAAGATAGTATTGGGAGAAAAGTAAGTTAAAATGGTTTATCTGCATATTTATTATCTACTACCTACTTATAATAAATTATCTATTAAAAAGGTAACAAGGTAACAAGTTTAAAATATTGACTGTTTCTAACACAAAATAAGACTAAAATCGTGCTTTACTTTCGAGTTAAAAGGTTTATGATTTGTCAAAAGAGTACCCAGATTTTTTAACTTAAAAAGTGTTAGTCAAGTCATTGTTTAGATTTGCTCGTTTTCTAAATTGACGTTAAGTGCCTGTCAAGATTTTACAATAAAAATAATTATTGGATAAAGAGTTTGCCTGAAATGAAATGCACCTCAAAACCATTAATCCTTTAAATATGTTTAAGTATATTTATCTAGAGAAGTGTAGGTATATAACCTAAAATAACGAAGTTTTCAAATTCCGCAATTTTAAAGTGGGACTTTAATTCGGGTGTGGAGAATAGTAAAAGTCGAAACTCTTGTTAAAATGGAATCTGATCTACTATATAATAGCAAATCCACTATTTAATTTTAATCGTGCACTCCCAACTCAGAACAAAATAAACGCCCAAACTTGACTTAATTTCTGATAATAGTATAAGAACTTATCTCATAAGACCTTTTGTCGCACTCGTCCATTACAAGTGCGACAAAAGGTCTTATGACATAAGTTCTTTATGCTATTTTATCTAAACTGCGCACCAGTCAATGTGTCGCGAACAAAAATATCGTCCTTTTTCAAAACGACATAACTTTTTTGTTTCTTGAACGATTTTATTGTTCAGGAATTGTTTTCGAATTTTGATTCTTAGTGATTTTGGTTTTATTTGAAACCTAAATTTGACAACTGAATCACAATCAGGTCAAAATTATGAAGAAAACATGTCACGAACGTAAATATCGGTTCAGGTTTAGTTTTCGAAAATTTTCACCAAAATCTCATTTTGAAAAAGTGGTCTTTGCTTAGGTTCCTCTGAAAATAATGGAAGTTTGTTGCTTGTCGCTTGTTCAAAATTATTCAAGGAACAATCTTTCACCATCTTATCTTTTTGTTCTTAAAAAGGCTAAGTGTATTGCCTACAAAAAACATCAAATGTACTCCATTGAAAAAAAAATCATATTTTTGTTGCTATGATTACTTACTTCATTATTTCAAAGTAAGAACGAGAAAAAAATATTTATTTTACAAACGGGGCTTGTTTTACATATCACCCTGTAGTAAATTTACTTGAAGAACCGTGAGCTTCATATCTATAGCATGAATTGCCAGATAATAGGGCTAGCAGACATCACAAACCAAAATAAAATCGTTCAAGAAACAAAAAAGTTATGTCGTTTTGAAAAAGGACGAAATTTTTGGTCGCGACACATTGAGTGGTGCGCAGTTTATTTTGCAAAAATTCTAAAAAAATACCTTATACCTTATATTTAATTTGGTCGAATTTTACTTTAGATAGTTGGTATCACAGTCATTGGTTTAAAGGGTTAATGTCAAAATCGATTCTCCATGGCGTCCTTAATTTACTTATTTACAATAAGCGGCTGTTAATGTTAAAGAAGAAAAAAAGGATTCACTTTGGTGATAAACAAAATGTATTGCCAGAAAAGTCTCGTAAGTACTAGAAAAATCATACAAATATTATAACCAATATGCAAAATATTATTTTTACTAGTATGCAGTTTAAAGTAGCCAATCTATAAAATCTAAATTTTGGGTGGGGAAAAGTACCTCATTACAGCACCGAAAGCGGTATTAAATGAAGTCATTAAGAACGCAAAATAGATAAAAATTATTACTATCCAGACCATTCGTGTAACCGTCCTGCATAGGATTTACAAGAAATGAGCCTTTCATCTTTATGTCCATTTAAAATCTTTAGTTCCATTCTTATTGTTAGTTTGGACATTAATGAGAACGAATTTAAGGCAAAAAATTGAACAAATAATTTTAATAACTGCCTTATTCTTCTCATGTGGCTCTGGTCGACTTTTTTCCTAGTCCTAAATTTAAATTACCACTTTGCGAAAGGGTTTTAACTGAATTAAATTAAAAAAAAAAATTACGCTGAATAAAACAAATTTTGCTTCCAGACTTTTAAAGGAGACATATTGTACATGGTATCCAACCACTGTATTTTTTAATTTACTTTAAAATGCGACAAGTATTGTATTGATTTCTCGTACCTCAAGTTCCTAAAATAAGGGATATTTTTGATGTTGAAGGTTTTAATTTTGTAAAATTATCACTCCATGGTGTTGGAGGAATACACGGAAGCAAATTAAATTATTTATTTTTTGTAGTTTTTTGGGTTCCTAAAAATAAGGCTTAGGATAGGTGTGACCCCAACAATGCGTTTTAAAGGGTATTGTAGAGCAACGCGCTTTTTCGTACGCACATTTTACCAGAACACTAATTTTATAGTCACACCATTGCGCTCATTATCAGTTGCGAGATATTGACTTATCACTTAGTCCCACTGTTAGGAAAATGTTTCAAATGTTTGAATCTACTGATCTGTACTTATTGTTTCTCTAAGTTTAACATTAACACTATTAAAAACGATGTACCTAATATCAGATACACGAGTCAATTGAATTTTTGTCTTATTTCCAGAGATGATGAAATGTTTTTAAAATGCTGTATGCAACATAATAATATTATTTTAATAAGTTGGTTTGTTTTTATAATTTTAAGATTAATTTTTAACTTCAAACTTTTTAAGTGTTTTGACCAAAATAATTAAGCATTAATGTAGTAGTATCGATTTCCAATAACCAATATTGGAAATTCTAAACCGCAGCTGGGGTATAAATAGTGTACAAATATTTCAGTACGATTATAAATAAATACAATGTTAAATTAAATAAACTCATGATGCTTCTGGAATCTAAAATTAATTAAAACTGACGTAAGTTTCAAATAACTCGTGTATTAAAAGCATTCAATGTATTTGTATTAGCATATTTTTAGCCGAAGCCTAATGGATTAGTAAATGTACAAGTATATGTGAGGTGGAATAAAAAAACTATATAACGACCGAAAATTCGGATTTACTTAATGCATATGACTTGAATTGAATTGAAAAAAAAAAGAATTAATATAAAATGCTCGTCATAAAAATCGACGCACCTAGTTTTTTGGAAAATATTTGAAAGCTTTTATGACGAGCAGTTTAGTTGATATATTTTTATATAAGTTGTTAGATAACAAAATTGATAGTTTAGAGTACCACAAAAAGCCACTAGAAACTGCGATTTATTTTATCTGCCAAAATCCAGTACTAATATGTTTATTATGTCACCTTTGTTTCAATTGTTTTACTATGGAAACAAACTTAGTATGAGTTTAGATTTTTTTCATTGCAGTTTATTAAGAATTCTACCTAATATTATTATTTAGTATTCATATCTTATATTTTGTTTGTTTTTAAAACTTATATTTATATCACCTATCCTGTAATTGGGCACCAGCGTGTTGGATTTGTAATTGAAATAAATGAATAAATAAATAAATAAATTGTTTAACCAGAAAAGGGTCAATAACATCGACTCAATATGCAGGTAATAAGAAACCTGCCTAACATTACACTTTGGCAAAACTAAAGGACTATTAAATCGAGTAGGCATTTATATTTCTAAAAGAATTAATTGGACCTTATAAGTATAAGTATCTAAACGTTTTTAACTTTTACAAACCTGTAATTGTCTAAGAACTTCATCGTGTGCTTTTTGTAACTCTAATGCATCTGGAAGTGTATCTCCTAGAGAAGTTAATTCTGGTGTGATTTCCAAAACTTTTAGTTGCATCCAATCCCCACACTGAAACAAACCAGTAAAAGTTTTAATTAAAATTAAAATTAACATTTAATAGGTTCATTTAACCCTATAATAATTACTACTTCAAACGTATTAGCATAATGGTGGTCAGAAATACATAAAACAGCAAAGAGTTATTAAAGTTTATAGTTAAGTAAAATTGCGGAAATGCCATAAAAGTTTAGCAAAATAGCTTTTGTTTGTATAAAAACTATACTTAAGATGTTTTAAGGTAAATATATTTTACATATTTATTGGTTAACAAAACAAAGGTCTATAATTATGACTATCGGAATATTTATTTATATTCTAACCTGTAAATGGTAAATTTTTGGTCATAACTCCAATGGTTTTGTGTGAAAACTGCAACTATTTATTCAGCAAGTATTTTTTTAGTTGTCTTGCAATAATAATTTGAAAATGTTACTATTAAAATCAAATTTTTATTATTGCTATATATTATTTTTAGATTAAGATAAATTTAAGGTCCGTTATTTTCCAACTTGTTTTTTTTTTACTTAAATAATAATTATTTGTTTACAGTCTTAAAACAACTTTAAAGAAAAAATGTTTTTAAAATGTCGTTTAAACCTGCCTTAATAAAACTCTCTAATTAATAGACATGCGCCAATATATTAGACTTATTTTTATAGGAAATTCTACTCTTTACAAAAAAGGTCCCTTATGGTGTTTTTGTAAAATCGATTAAATTTGAAATAAATAAGTGAGTTATGTCATTTAAAGAGGGTTAAACGACACCGAAAAATTTTTTTTTTTCAAAATTGTCTTAGATTGTAAACAAATTTTTATATGATAGCCAACTTAAAACTCAACTTGGGAAATAACGGACACCCTACGTATTATATATAGACATTTAACCAAATTTTATAAAATCACAAAATTGCTTTATTTTTTGATTAAAATCTAGTAAACATACAGAATATGTAAAATCAGTTGTATTTTACGAAAGCCCACTTTGTAAATATTAATTGACGAGTATTTTGGCCCAAAAATATTTTTAGACCAAGGCTATGCAAATGATGTATTTTATGTGTTGCAAAAGTCAGTTTTAAACTAGAACACAGTTGCAAGTAAATTTCAAAAATAAGTAAATAGCAAGTGTGGAAGTTGATTTATGACATACATATAGTTCAGTACATTCGGAAAAAGGCTGTTTTCGGAAAAAACTACCATATTCATGTTTTTCCAACTTTGAGGAATCCTATCCTCTGTAGATGGAGGTGAAAACACAATTTTTTTCTTAAAACTGTTTTTAGAAAAAATTTAAACAAAAAATTTAGGGGGTATTGTCCTCTACTATATATGTCATTGTTGATGCTCTAGGACGAAAAATTTAAAAAGTAAGTACCTCAAAAAAGCGTTTCATCGCTTTTTGAAATTAACATTCTTTTAAGGCAAAACTGTTATTAAAAATAGTATATTACACTACAAGGGCAGAAAGTGTGAGATTCCTGCACTGCGCGCCATAATGCCCGAGGCGAAGCCGAGGGCATCATAGCGCGCAGTTCAGGGCTCTCACACTTTGTGCCCGTGTAGTGTATACTATTTTTCTTACTACCTCGGCCGAAAATACAACCCGGCCGAAAATACGGGAAAAAATTAAATGTGTATTTATGTACCTATCTCCATTTGAAGAGCTTGATAAATACATAACAGTAGGCCGTGAATTCAGCGGTGCCAATACAGTAAAAATAAATGGTTGTATTTTAATTAACAAATTACTACTTTATAACAAATAAAAGTACCATTAAACACTTAAAACAACATAAAAAGTAAAAAAGTAAAAACATAAATTGTTTATTTGTTGTTATAATTGCAAAATTATGGTTTAAAACTGTCATATTTTTTTGTTTCTCATGTTGGCAGTACGAAATTTAAATGTTAAGCACACGACTAAAAAAATTTTACTCCCGCTATTAGAGTGTGCGCGTATAGCTTGACCAATGCATAAAACGTAAACTTTCTGCCGTGGAATCGGGGACGAAACAACGTATTTTGAGTCGAGGTAGTAAGAAAAATTGTTTATATCGATTCAGATTAACTTTTTGATATGATATGATATAGCGTTTGCAATTTATAGTCTGACGGGTCTTCTGGTAAAAACTCACAAAGTTTTTAGATTTCATTTTTATAGAAAAAACTTTAAAAAAAATGTAGGGAGCATTGTTTCCTACAATTTATGTCTATAAGTCAAACTCTATTAGCAAAAATTCACTAACCACCTAAAATTTTTATTTAAAAATCTTTCAAGCAAGAAAGTTTGTAAGAAGTAAATTCATCTTAAAAATCCCTACCAAATTCATATGAACTTTTTTCCTACGATAGACCGCTGTCTATCTACGTAGTTGATACGAATTTTGTAGGTTTTTTAAAAATAAACATTTTTTGTCCTAGAAAATCGATCCAGTTACATGAATTCTAGTGAACAATGCCCTGCATCACAAAATGTTCAAAAAAACTTACCGTTCTCAAGAAAAATAAAATTGACCAAAAAAACAAGCTTTTAAAAAAAATTAAAATCGACTGTACCAATATAAAAAAAAGATATTAAATCAGTATTTTAATTTATACATATAATTTTATTATTCCATATTTCAGCTTGGTAATAATTTTATATTTTAAACTCAAAAATATTTTTTTTTTTTGAAATTTAAATGGCACATAATTTTACAAATCAAATATATTTTTAACACATTATAAAATAACTTTTAAAAACGCTTTGGCCGAATTTAATAAAACTTTCAGGTTTTATGTAATGGGTAAAAATCTTTACTCAATGTAATTAAATTTAATTTAATTAATACAAAGGCTGCGCTGGGGCATTTTAACTAAATATTTAAAAATAAAATTTGGGTACGTTTTTATATTATTTTTGGATTATACCACAATCTACACAACAAGGTCTGTTCTATCGCGTTTCGCACAATTCTTGTGCTTTGGGTTTGTGCTGTGTATACAGATTAAAATTTGTTTTTAGCGTTGTGTTTCTTACAAAGGCACTTGTAAGCCTCAAATGAAGCCTTAGTGCTAAGAACAGCCAGTTTACTCTTCTTTTGTAAAAAATAAACCTTATTTATCAGGGCTGTCATTAAACCGTCAAATTTAAATTTGTGGGTTATAATAAATTAACCTTAAAATTGAAACTTGACAGTTTGGTGACAGCCCTGATAGAATAAGGTTTATTTTTACCAAAAGAGGAGTAAAATGGTTGTTCTTTGTTGTTCTGCACTTTAAGGCCTCATTTTAGGCTTACAAGTGTCTCTGCAAGAAACAGCACGCACACAAAGCACAAGAATTGTAAACGACAAAAATGGCCGCCATTAGATGATGTGCAGTGTTGCAGTGATTTTTAGTACAAGATCAAACAGACCTTGTTGTGTGGATTGTGGATTAGACAATCAAAAATATAACTTTTTTGTCATAAGAATTTTTTCTATATCTTGTTTAATTTTTAAGAAAAAAATAAAACCTTTATTCGCTCGCCCCTGGAATAGTTATGGTCACGAACGGATAAACGAATTTAATTTTTGTCTTGAAAATTTGACAATCCACACAACAAGGTTTGTTCTATCTCGTTTCGCGTTAGGCAACCCATTGTACCAGAGGCGGATTATCCCTAAGGCAAACTAGGCACGTGCCTAGGGGCGCGAGGTTACAAGGGGGCGCGATGTTTGATAAAAACGCAAGTTTTTATGAACACCGAGTAGGTATTTATTGAAGAAAGATTTACAACTTATTGGTTTGATTATTTAATCAGCACGCGCAAGTGAGTTTTGAAACGAAGAAAATAATTAACATCTCCCAGGGTTATTTCACCCCCTTTCAGTTCTCCTACTTATCCCGCCACTGAACAGCATCACCTGTGTTTGGTGGTTGGTAAATCTCGCCTAGGAGGTCGTGGATGACAGTGTGGATGGTAAAGGCCACTCCCGGAATTTTTTCGCCGGGCCGGGCCATACGCCCGATTCAGGCTAGGAGTACGGGACAAGGAGGCAAAACTAAGTACAATCCGGAATCCCCCTCAACCAGGGATTTAGTAATCCCCCCATTTATTTGGGGTTCATGAATGAGGTTTGGTTGGTTAGTACGCTGCTAGGACCTATCTTTTCTGGTCTTGTAGTCTGCTGAAATTCGGAAACTGTTGTGAGCAATTGTTTGCCCCACTGTGCGAAAACGTTTCCTCAGTGTAGGGGTCGAGAACTATCGATAGATATTTGTCTTTACGTTTTCTTTTTTTTTCTAACAATTAGAAGTTGCATTTATATATAATTTATTTTATATAATTGCTCTTAACTTTGCTTTTTTAATTCTCTTATACAGCTAGCATGCTGCTAGTAGCAGCATGCAATGCCTAAAATTTAGAGGTGTTTAGTGGTTTATGTTAGGCAAATATCGGAACTGGTTCGTTAAGTTTTAAACATTTTAATTTTGTTGGGGCTTATTTATGTTTTGTGCCGTTCTTACCTAATGATTGAATAATTTACACTATTACGCTGTTTTCAGTAATAATGATTGATTATTGTTAGGTTTTTGTTGCGAATTTGTGTATTAGGTCATGCGATTAATTGGTACAGATTTTTGCAGATGATGGCCCCTTCCACTCTAGGCTAGTTTGTTCCCTACATAAGGTCATTCATATTGGCCTAGGGTTAGATCTTCAGGTATGCTGTCATTTATTACTTAATTACTTCCGTGTCCGTATGGTCTTTATTCACTATATTCACTTATTGGGGTTGCTTCATAATGCACTAATTTAATGTTTCTATTAAGACTTTGGACAACAGGTACACTGATTTTCGTTGTCCAAGTAGTAAATCTTTGCACTAACTTCGCCCATTATTTTCCTTAAACTACACTCTACATGAGCGATTTTTATGTTTCCTTAAAACTTATTATTAGGTACACTTAAGAGCGATCGAATTAGAGAGCACATTTACTCGACTGGCCGTCTGTATTGATACTCCTAATTAACATAAACTTAA